CGCGGGGAAGAAAAGAAACGAAAAAAAGCCTTGCAGATCTATATTGGCAAAGGCATTATTCTTGTCTCGCAAAAATACCTTTTAGTATGAAAGACGTCTTGAAAGAGAGCCAGTGGGTGGCCGATATTTGTAATAATAGACCCCTTACCGTATCATAGATACCCCACACAATGTTTGCCAAGGGCTGTCCAGTTAATATACGAGTATTTTCAAACTTGAAACCCCCACCATAGAGTTCACTGATTCAAATCATCGATTTACTGAGATTTCATTTTTCAGAGAACTGGATCACTTCTGTTGACACGGTCTTAGATCTATTTGTATTTTCTTTACTATACTTCGGGCCTGGTCGCATATTATCCTGATTAATCTGAAGGCTTACAGGGAGTTTATATTTTCAATGAAGATGGGCCAGGAACTTTATATGGTATAACCTGCCACAGCCTTAGTGGCGATGCCATATCCATGGATGATCCCTTCAGTGATTGAGGCCTGGGCGTGGAGCCAGAGCTATGAGCTGTAAAGATTAGTGATACACAATGCCCACAATGATCAGCTGAGGCAGTGATCATGTGTCTAACGATCACATGTCTGCAGACCAACGGTGCTGCTAAAGGAACTTGAAAGTCACAAGATATGTTCTTGTCCCCTATCCTATACCGTTCGCCGTTCACTGCTCGTTACTACTATAACCCCAAAATTTTCTTTTTGAATCCTTCTCAAATATCCCATAGAATATAGCAATGTCAACACCGTCGAATCGCTGTCCGGAAGTGGATCAGTTCCCGTCGCCCACCTCAGAGGAATCCGAATCCCTAATCCCCAAGTCCAGCAAGCCTCACTGGACCAGGTACTTGTGGGATACACTTGACAAATCGCCTGAGGAACAACGGTTTTTATTGAAGCTCGACGCTGCAATTCTCACCATAGCTTCGCTCGGTTACTTTATAAAGCATTTGGATCAGATCAACATAAACAATGCGTTTGTTTCTGGCATGAAAGAGGACTTGGGACTCGAGGGTAACGAGCTGAATTATATACAAACTTGTTGGACAGTTGGCTACGTTATAGGGCAAATTCCAAGGCAAGTGCAAATCCGGCAATCGCAAAACAATAAATAGAACTAACCATGGCGTTATTTATAGTAATCTTCTTTTGACGCGCATTCGCCCTTCATTATGGATTCCCTCATGTGAAGTTCTCTGGTCCCTTTTGACTATTATCATGGCCAAATGCAGCAACGTACAACAAATATACGTTCTACGATTCCTCATCGGGCTCGCGGAGAGTAGTTTCTACCCGGGCATGCAGTATATAATTGGATCTTGGTATCAAAAACACGAGCTTGGCAAGCGATCATGCGTATTCCACGCAAGCAGTGCCGTTGGAAGCATGTTCTCCGGCTACCTCATGGGTGCTGTCTACCATCTCGACGGTGTAAATGGGTTTAAAGGCTGGCAATGGTTGTTTATCATAAACACAGTTATATCACTGCCTATTGCGTTCTCCGGCTTCCTCTTCCTACCCGATGTGCCGGAGATCACGCGGGCCACATATTTCAGCCCCGATGAGATTGTGCTGGCGCAGACACGCATGCAAGACGAAGGGCGTGCTAATCGGGCACCATACACTATGAACAAGGTTAAGAAAGTTCTCTCCAGCTGGCATATCTACCTCTTGACCTTATTGTACATCTTTTACTTGAACGGCGGTGGGGTATCGGCGCAGCCAGCATTTGCTATTTGGCTGAAGCAGCAAGGCTACAGCATAACACAGATTAATACGTATCCGACCTTGACGACAGCGGTCCAGATCATCACCACATTAATTTACGCATGGATGTCGGACACCATTTTGCAAGGCAGGAGATGGCCGCCGATTATATTTTCAGGTGTCATGATTATTATTGTCAATACGAGCTTGACGGTATGGAACATCCCAACGGGTTGGAAATGGGGATGTTTCATACTAGCCGGCTGCTCGAGTGGAGTTAGCGGGCTAATATATGCGTGGATGCATGAGATTTGCGCTGAAGATAACGAGGAGCGAGCCCTGGTGGCGGGTTCAATGAACGAGATGGCGAACGTGGTCCAGACATGGCTTCCGCTGCTGATTTGGCAGCAGGTCGAGGCACCGGAGTATCCAAAGGGATACTTGGCGTCTGTATGGATTGCGGTAGCCATGATAGCCACAGCAATGACTATAAGGCATTTGCATGGTAGACAAGTAGCCCAGTGGGCAATTAAGTCTACACGAGAGTGAATCAGATGACAAAAATACGTGCAATTGAAGTACGGTATCTGTAAGCATAAAGACCAATCTAGCTCTTTGCAGGCGACGGCAAACGCGGCAGGTGAATGGGTACAATTAGGAGCGCAGATATAACTGCGATTATGAGACAGGACCCGAATCCTAGCCGTAATGCAGCATCATAGCTTTGCACTACTTGCTCCCTATATGGTTGGTCCAGCTTTGCAACTGCCGCGACTGATGCCCGCGCTAGGGCAATGACCTCGTCCTTTCGCAGCCCCTGAACGAAGTTATGAAGATATCGTAAGAGTGCATTCTGAACAACGACGCTGCTGAGTGCGACGCCTAAGACGGTCCCTATGTTGCGCCAGATAGAGAGAGTACACATAATAATGGCCTGCTCGTCATGCGCAGCAGTGGCAAGGACCGCCACACCGGTCGTAGTGTATTGTAGTCCATTCGCAACAGCGTAGGGAACTAATGCGAGCAAATACACAGCAGTCGGTGCGCCACGTTGTATGAAGATGAGCCATATGACGGAACACAGATACAATGCTGCGGCTGACACGAGTGGCCAGTGCAGGCGCCGCGTTCTAGTGATTAGGAACCCGATCAAAGTACCTGTAGCAGATGCTATGATGGTCGGAAGCATAAGTTGAAGGCCAGACGAGGTGGCGCTGGTTAAAAGCACGGCTTGAAAATATAGTGGCCTAGATTCGGAGGACTGTGGTTAGCAGGAGATTTTACTGGACGACTGGGAGGGGAAGGGACATGCTGTTCTTACACGTTGAACAGGATGGCGCTTGATATTATCGCACCAAGGAAGTTGGAAAGTATGAGATTCGCACAGGGCCTGACAGAGATAAATCTCAGTGGCATAATCGGCTTTCCCACGCGAGACTCGATTAGGAGAAACGTTGGGAAAGCGCTGGTAAACACCATCAAGGAGGCGACGACAAGGGGATGGGACCCTTGGTAACCAAATTAGTCTAATTGTTCTCTACTCCAACAATACCAGGCATAGGCAGGTTGTGTGGAAGAACTTACAAGGAAGGATATTGCCGCCGATATTCAAACCAAGGACAAGCGTCGACACAGCCAGGGTAAGCAAGAAAGCACCAAGCGTGTCAAACTCTCTAAAAACATCTCTTACAGACTCCCTCTCACCAAGTATGCCCAAGTTATCTGGAATGACCACTGCAGAAATCCCTAAGCATACTAGGAGCGGGGGAACCTGCACGCCAAACTCCCATCGCCAACCTATTGTCTCGGCAATGGCACCACCGAATGTGGCTCCTAACCCGCCACCGATGCCGACTACAACGTTGATATATGAGAGATAGGTGCCTCGACATCTATAGTATCGTGAGTAAGGCTTATCTTAAACCTTTGGGGGTTTTGCATCAAGGCATTGAACATGTTGGCCGGTCGGATACTTACTCGATAGGTATCATGTCACTCATCATGATGCTCCCCATCAACAAAGTGCCTCCAGCACCTATTCCGCAGACTGCCCTTGCAGCAATGAGGCTTTCTATACTTGTGGCTAGGGAACACCACAGCGTGGCTGCCGAGAAAATCGCCATGGTACCGAGAAAAAGCGGCTTCCTCCCGAATGCGTCCGATAGGCGGCTGAGGAAAGGCTGTGAGACAGTTGTCATTATCATGAAAGCCGTCGAAAGCCAAGATGCAGAGTTGGCCGCATCAAAGTATGACGTTATAATTGGGTGGGAGGATGCCATAATGGTTGTATCAAAGAAGCAGAGGAACTGCGTTGTGAGTATTTGCGAGAATATAGTCCAGAATTGCGCTGTTGACAAGCCGGCCAGGAATGGAGACGGTTTACTCCGAGTCGTCGTGTGGTACCCTCGAGCAGTAGCAGGATCGTGTGGTCGCAGAAGACTCCGAGTCTCGTCCTCGCTGGAGATTGGATCAGCAGTATTACTCTGGCTCCCCATGCCAACCAAATGGGCGAGCTTCATCTCCCTTTTCTTGATCCATTTCGCCATGACCATGACGGATGCCGATTGCTTTGGAATGCCAAGACTACTCAGTCTAAAATTAGTAGGAACACCAATTTTCTGATCAAGAATAAGAGACTGGAGTAACTCACTTCAGCTGTATTGCAACACCAATGGCGAGGATGCAGCACTTGGTGTGGTGGAAGTCTGACTTTGCACGACTTTATTTCTGAGCCTCTCTCCCCAACTCAATTGTCTCAGACCTAGGACAGTAAGCAGGAGAAGGCGCGAGATTCAAAATTCAAGAACCTTCCACGTAGTCTTGGTGAAATATTGGTACTGTGTCACTTTGTTTATTCCAAGGTCTGGGCCCCTTGCATAAAGTGAGTAAGCCACATAACGCAATGAACCCAGCTCGACACAAGCCACTTGGAAGCGGGTTCATGCACATTGATTTGTATGAGAGAAGTACTCAATTGAGGAAAAGATCACATAGTATTCAAAAAAGGTAAGCTTTCCTATTCCAATAACTAACTATGTACTCAATCTTGCTCCCCCGCCCGACGGGCAAAATGCCTGCGACCCGCGACGAGCGGCAGGGAACGCGTCAAACAACACGTCCACCCCTCCCGCCCCGGATGCCGCGCTCTACCCACCCACCACAAGGTCTGGTTTGGTTCGTCAGATACCAGTGACTGCAACAGTTCAAGACGAGGATGATGTGGGCGAACGAGATGTGCAAGCTATGGAGTCAGAGCAGAGGTCGGATCAGCCACAGTCCGAGTTTCAATGACTCTACGTGCAAACAACGAGCTTATGATTCGATTCGATCGTATGTCGGAAGTATACGCAAATAATGTCGAAGCTATTACTGCGGAGTCAGCACTATATCGCAAGGAGCTGGAAATATCGCGGAAAGAGGCCAATGAGCTCCAAAAGGAGATCGCCAACATGAAAGAACTAATCCAGTCGCTGTCACTGGGCCGCCCACCACGTCGCCTAGCGCCCAGACCAGCAGCCCAGGAAGAAGCTGGGCATCTGTCATTTCGCAATCATCGTTAGTGTCGTCTGACACCCGGGCGGCGCGTGCCGGACTGGGCCTCACTGCTGTGATACTGGACCTACGCTCTGCTGGAGACAAGACCAAAGCATTAGTAGATGACCACACGCGGGCACGAGAAGATCCGTACAGCACTTCAAGGCGAGACTATTACTGCGAGAATTGATACTGTGAGGGTCAAGCCCACCTCCCGATCCACTATCAAAATCTTTGTCGACTCAGGAAAGCGTTGCGAACCTCCGGCAGGCTACGCACTGGCTGAACGACCTGCCTGGATCTAGGCTGCAAGGGGAACAATGGTTTGCGGCCAAATTGGATGACGTCAAGAAAGAAAGTATATTTGAAACGTCGGGAATGCAACGAGAGGACGTCACGAGCACCTTCCAAGACGAAAACAAAAAAAAGTCGCGCAGGTCAAAAAGACCATTTGGCTGGGTGGAAAGAAAAGTTATGGATCCATGGCGGTCTTCCTTACTAGTCAAGCGGACGCAGAGGCCCTGCTCAGCCGTCGGATCGTTGACGTCCTTGGAGAAGCAGTGTTCTCGAACAGGATCTATGAGCGACAGTGACCGCTACGTTGCCGCAGATGTCAACAGTATAATCATAAAGAGTCATAAAGAAGACCGTTGCCCAAACCCCGAAGCCTGCGGCAAGTGCGTGGGCCACCATCGCGTCGAGCAGTGCACATCTGATATTACTAAATGTGCACGTTGTCAGGGCAATCACGCTGTCACGCTGTCAATGACTGCAATTGCCCGAAATGGGACGAAGCTTGGAAAGTGATCCGTCGACGAGAGCAGGAGATGATAGCCAGACGAACAGACTCTTTACGCCATGGTAGCCAGTAGAGTCTTGCGCGTACTGCAGGCCAATCTGTGAAAGGGCCCAGAGACCCAACTGAGCCTCCTGAACGACCGGTCGTTGCAGTCCTGCGATTTGCTAATGATCTCGGAACCATACGTTTCCCTGATAAACGACACGGCATGCTCCCGTACACATGCTAATTGGACGCCATTTTGTCCCTCGCGTCGGCATTCTCCATTCGGAGGGTGAAGGCCGCACCATAGCATGATCTGGGTGAACAAAAAAACCTACCGGCACAGGCAGATCGACGTTGCGTCACCCGACATTGCCGCTGTACTGCTATTTATGCCCTCGCCAACTCTAATAGTATCCCTATATATCACGCCAAGAAGAGGGTGCGAAGGAACTAGGACACTAACTCAAGGGTTGGATACAATCCGCGAGGCCTATCACCGGGTCCAATGTGAGTCTGGCGGCAACACTGACATCCTTCCTTATTGTGGGAGACTTCAACCGCTACGATCAACTCTGGGGAGGAAATCAAGTGGCAACGCGGAGCCGTCAGGGTAAAGCGGAACCAATTATGCTGATGGCAGACTGGGACCTCACAAGCTTATTACCCCGAGGGATCTTCACCCGGGAAGAAGGCTCATATCGGGCGACCATCGATCTTGTCCTCGCGTCGACAGATCTGAGCAGGCGGGCCATACGGTGTTGTATTCAACCCGTTAAGCATGGGTCAGGCCACCGTGCAATTGAAACAACCTTCCAGAGCGAAGCACGACCAACGCTTCCCCAGACAACCTCGCGAAACTGTATAAGAGACCTAGAGACAGAGATTATAGATATCACAGACCGCTCGGAACTAGATGCGACTGCAGGGCGCTTGACTAGCAGGATAAGCGCAGCAATTCGCCAGCTGGTCCCGGTTGCGCGGCCATCCTCATACGGTAAACGCTGGTGGACTCCGGCCGGATTTAACGGCACTGCGAGACTCATACACATGGGCCCGAAATCGGTACACACAAGCTCGGCGGTATGGATTCGACCTTACTGTTCTAGAAGACACAGCATCTTACCTACGGAGACAGTACCACCGGGCAATCCGTGACACCAAGCGACGGCATTGGAGAGAGTTCCTTAACAATAATGACATTTGGAAAGCTGCACGATACCTCCAGCCGGGAGAGGAATCCATGGGGGTAGTCCCCACACTATGCTTGGGTGACCAGATGATCAATGATGACCAGGGAAAGGCCCATGCACTCCTTAAGACCTTCTTCCCCCCGCTGCCCAGTATCCAGGACGAGCCGCCAAGAGACAGGCCGCTACCGAACGCCCTTCCGAAGGAAATGATCACGGAACACGAGATCGAGGTGGCTCTGATGCGGATGGCATCGTGGAAAGTACTGGAGGCACAGGATAGGGATACTCGCAGAGAGACTGAAGATGGTGCTGACATGAAGATGCTATGGAGAGAAGCTATCTACATGGCAGGCACGGTGGGCACTGGCTGACTCAGCAACCTCTGGCCTGAGCCCTCAGGCCTCAGTATGTACAACCTTAGGTCTTCAGGGGGGAATAGAATGAGAATGGGGTGAGCTTAATACTATGTAAGGACTCAGATGCTTTGAAAGATAGCAGTAGTATTGAACGAAGGTATTAAGCTGAGAGAGAGAAGAAGAGAAAGAGAGAAGGAGAGAAGCTCCCATCGCAACTATCTACACGTGAGCGGCTGCCTGGGTCACGTGCCACAGGCACCGAAGGCTTCGATGTTACAAATAGAGACTAATTCTTAAAGAACCTTCAAAGAATCAAGGGTATTGTACCTATTTATAATACATTGAAGGTCCCCGATTTATAAGGGAATTATATACAAATTAGATATAATGTCGACCAGATAGTCCCACGTTACATCCCTACCTGTTCGGAATGATGTTCTGTATCGTTGGTTGTTCGTGTTGTTATCTCATCCTGACAGATAAGGTTCGGCATGGGATCGGTTTAGGCCTCGCCAGACCCGCCCCAAAACCCGAACCCGCCCACGAAAACCCGCCCCACGGGTCGGGGCGGGTCTTAGTCAGCAGACCCGTGGGCGGGTTTGTTTTTTGAAAACCCAACCCGCGACCCATACGGGTACCCAAATTACCCATGACTCCAAAAGGGGAAGGATTTGTCAGCTAGCACAAAATTATGCTAAATTATTCGTTTAGATCAACGTATTGCCCCGGTATGAGTAGAATAGATTCAACCTGCGCTTCTCTAAAAGTCCCAACCATAACATAATCACAACCTCGCTTTACATAAAGGTCTATATCTTGGGATGAGTGGTTATATTAAGAGATTACATCAAACTATAGGACTAGAGGAGACTAACTAATACAGCTCATAGCCTTCAAGTCGGCTTGAAGGCACTGTCATCCTCCCTGATGATCTTTTTTGATATCTCTCTCCCAGATGCGTAACTGGAGGTGGCAACAAATCTTCATCATCGCTCTCTGGATCTGGACGAATAGCCGTCATCGTCACATCTTGCGGTCGACTGTGAGAAGGAAGCTCCTGTGAGGCGGTGCTTTCAAATCCCAGAACACTCTGAACAGTGGGGCTCATATCGGTATCTTCGACTAGATCACTCTCGTCTATATCGCTGATAGCTGCATTCTCATCTTCGGTTTCCTTGTTTGCCTCATTTTCTTCGAGATTTTCCTGGTCCTCCCCTTCCGCCATCCTATGATCCAACAGACTCGATTGCTGGCTCTCCAGGGTGAATTTCTCAGAGCACATGTACATCATCAAGTCTTGTATCGTAGTCTCATTCAGAGATCCCCGGCGATAATGGCAAATATCCCGGGCACTATTGAACAGCCTTTCAACTCCTGCGCCAGTGGCTGGAACTGAGAGCAAATCGCGAGCTAGCCGCGAAAGCACGGGGAATTTACTCTCATTCTCTCTCCAGTATACACGCGGTGGTATTGAGGTAGTCGCTGGGAACGTTAACGGTCTTTCAGATCGATTGAGCCAGATATACTTACACTCGTGGAGATAACGATCAACCTCGTCATACCCGACTCCTTCGCTTGTTTCTACCGCGTGTGTTGGTTCAAGAAGCCGTTCTAACTCCGAGGCTTGTAACGAAGGGCGTTGTACAGCACGGAATAGCATCTCTGGGTTTCTTTGTTGATACTGTGCAAAAGATGATCGCAGATATTCACAATATCTTTTTGAAGTCTCGCCAATGCACTGCGAATACTCTGTATCATCAAAAGCACAAAGCTTATACTGAGGAGCAAGCAAAGCCGCTGTACCGTAGAGAAATCCATGGTCACGATAGGTCTTCTCGTAATAATCTTTTAGCTTTTGCTTTGCCATGAGCATGGCACCGTACATATCTTTTTTCCAGGGTGTGGTTTTCTTTCTCAGCTTCCGGTTTGAGCGTTCGATGTGTTCCAGAAGCTTCCTGTACACGAGAAAGACACTATGGATAGTCACATCTTTGGTCTTCATCAGAGCCATGGTAAATTTGAAGAACGGCCTTGTTATATTGACCAGGTAGTCGATTTGCCGCCACTCGGTATCGGTGACTTTGAATTGGCTATATTCATGGTCTCGGCAGTATTTATCAATGGTGTTCCTGAGCCGGCGCGCTCTTCGGAGCATCAAAAAAGTAGAGTTCCAGCGGGTCTGTACGTCGTGGAGGGGGAAAAGCCGAGTTCCACCCGATTGAAGACATAGAAATGCATCTCGTCGTTGTGGGCTTGCATTCACAAAGACGGCAAAAGACCGGATCTATCATAAGGAGAAGAAAATCTTTAACAAAAATTCCTGTGGTCATTTTCCGGGTCAAACATACCTTTGCGAGAGTATGCGCCACATCGCCATGCTCTAGGGAATCTCTTAGGCAGACAGCTTGGGTGTCAGACCAAAACCTTCTCACTTCTTTATTCTTTGGAGCGGCTCTGATATGGCCTAGTAGTTGCTTCAGGCAAAGCTGAATCACATGGGCCATACATGGAACGCGTACAATGGATTCCCTCGTACTAATGGCACCGCTCGAAAGAAGTGACTCCTGCAAGGCCCGGATGAGAGTCTCGTTGTTTGTTGCATTGTCTGTAGTCACACTGAAGATCCGATCCAGAAGTCGTCTGTCCTTAAGCACCTGAAGAAGCACTTCGTTCAGATTGACCCCACTGTGAGCTCCGTGTAGAGGCTCAAACCCAAGAAGCATTTCACGATAGTTCCAATCTTTGTCGATGAAGTATACTGTAATTACCATAAATGCTTGCTGAAAAGGGCTAGTCCAGCAATCCAGTGCAAGAGAAACTTTCGCATCTTCGGGCAAGTCTCGTAATTGAGTCTCTTGTTGGGCTGCAACAGAGTCACGTAAGCGACGTCGCAGAGTCTTTGCCGAAGGAATTTCTAATTCTCCTGGGCCAGAGTGAACCAAATTGAGCAGGGCTTGGAACTCGGGATTTTCAATAGTCTGGAAAGGCAATCGTAAAATGGCTATCGTCTTCAGTAACCTTTCTTCAAGCTGCAATGTAGTGAATTTCTTGCAATTGGACGAAGCCCCTAGGAAAGCTTTCTGAATGGAGTTTGTTGCGAGTGTCTGACGGTAGGTTCTTTTCTGGCCCTGTCGACAAGACTTGGATTTCTGGTGTTTTCCCATTGCGCTTGTCCCGTGCTTCTTATGTTGCGGGTGGTCTAGCAAAGTCAAACAAGTCCTGCAAATCACCTTGGGTCGACCAGTCAAGATGTCGGCAACTTGGTCGAAGCGTCTCCAAACTTCAGCATAATGCGACTCTATCGACCACTTGATTCTTGACCGGCCCTCACTATTCAGCACTTGTCCGTATTCCGTTTTGGCCCACCAGATCAGAAATTCCATCGAGTTCTCTGATTCGTACAAGATCCAGTTCTTTTTGCGGTTCGGTCCTACGCGCTTTAGAATCGGCGGGGGTGGTTGGCTGGATGCATCAATGCTTCGCCGGAGCTCCCTATCAGGCTACGTGGTCTCTTAGCATGTTCGCTCGAGTTGGGGGGGAGGGTGAAAGGAATTCTATGGTGCAGAATCTCAATTTTCATACCGAGGATTGGAAATCGGAGTCCAGAAAGGAATCGGATGACGGTTCAATAGAGGCTAAGGGACTCAAAGATCGATCAGTTAATAGCGATGACATTTTTCTGTCTTCAATGTCATCGAGGTTCAGCCTTCAAATCTAACACGGTGTTGTCTAGTGAGAGATAATATAGCCTTGTAGATTGCATCTTTTTTTTTCCGGCGCGTTTTCTGGGTCGCGTCAACCCACGGGTACCCAAAACCCGCGCGACTGTGAACGACCCCAGGAACGCGTTTATTGGTGTCTAAGCAGCTTTTATATCTAGATCGAGTAATGGTCTTAACATAAAAGACATTTGCCTGACTAGGCTAAGTTTACGTTTGGGGTATCCCGTTGTAGCATTTGATGATATAGGGTGGGAGACATTCGGACCGAAACATGGTGCAGTTACTGTCCGTTATCAATATATATATTTCGGAGCCGATGTTATATCTTATCTGATTGTATTTCCAATATTAAATCGGTACCAAAATAGATTACCAAAAATACACACACTGACTAATCACATATTGTGCATCAATTATGTATTTTGATGGGTAATTTGGGTACCCGCGAACATTTTCCAAAAACCCACGGGCGGGTTTGTGAAATGCAAAACCCGCGATGGGTTACCCGTGGGCGGGTTGGAAAAATGAAAACCCGCCCCGAACCCGCGTTTGGCGAGGCCTAGATCGGTTCCTGGCCTAATATCACGTGACATCAGTGGCCTTATCAAGCTACGAAGCAGAGTATATAGCCCTAAAAGAAGCTACTAAAGAAGTAATATATTTGAACAATATATTTAAATCCACATCACGGCCCTTTCCTAGTAGTTGAAGCATGGACTAAATGTGTCTCAGAACTGCTAACCTGCCAAGTAGTATCTTTTGAATCCTATCCAAAGGTACCGAACCACCTGAGTTCTGGACATGCTGAGGCGGCGTGATATTATTGTAATAAGAAGATGGAATCCCAAATAAAGATGGGAAAAGATGCTTCAGCAAGGATGGTATGGCTGGCATACAAGCGCAGATAATAGCCACGTCACATTCGACGACGCTCCAGTATATCGCGGGGGTATTATCATCTAGCATATTTAATACTAAGTAACATCGCATGATAATGGAAAGACTTTGAGCCTACTTACAAGTTGTGTTTGATGATTTGGAGAACACAACCAACGAGCGAAGTCTCAAGCAACTGACTACCGTGATCCTGAAAATTATTAGTTTCGAAGTCCCCCAACATACCTTACAAACGAGTACGGTATGTAGGGCGAACTCACAGGAACCCAGTGCAAAACATTAGAATAATCTGAATTTTCTTCTTTGTGTTCATAGCAGTATGAAGCAGCGGCCAAATAGGCAAGCTTATGATTCCCAAATCCATCACAATCTGCACTGCAGCCTTGTACCACGAATACCCATTAATATTAATACAAGTACCCTTGTACTCACCCATCCAACCGGACCAAAAGAAAGGAACAGGTGTGCATTGAAAGATCATGACGAAGGTATTCGATACACCGAAGCAGACTGATAGGGTCATGAGACAGTAGCATATTATTTTGAATCGTTCGATTGGGAAGATGCGTAAATAGAAGGCGAGGTAGGATAGTTGAGTTAGAGCCTCAGCGGCCATATAGCAGACTTCTGCGACGTATAGTAACTGGATGAAGATTCAGTAATAATTTGGAACGTGATAGGAGGTCAATTACCTCTAGCTCTTTCGTGATATGGTCGAATGGTATTGTCCAGATGTTGGTACCGAGGCCAAATTTGTGCACTAGGGATGTTTTAGTATTTGTTGAGAATCAAACGAAGAACATAGAGATTGACTGACTCGGGAATATGGTACAGTTCAACGGGACGGCGCATACTAGCGCTGCGAGGATGAATGCGTCGTCGAGGCCGAATAGTCGCTTGAAGGCTGTTCGTTGTGCCAGACGCAAAGAGACCATTATGAGAGCTAACATCCCCAGAACACCAGCTAGGACTGGAGAGATCAGGGCTTGGCTAGCTTGTGGTACCTCACATATTCTCATAGTCGTGTTTGTGGTAGCTGGCTATTTATTAGCACTATCGTATGTGTTCACAATGGTATCGAGTCCTTACAAAGGCCTGCTTTCACGCCACAGTCAAGCGTCACGCAACCGGTTGCTTGTGCGAAGAATGTTGTGTCCATGCAAAGACATGTTGTATTCGAAATGGCACATGATGATATATTAGCGGCTGTATAAAAGCAATTGAACTGATGAGAGTAAGATGTTAGGTTCATTTTCAAAGCTTCGTAGCAACGTGAATTGTGCTTACAGCGCAATATGACAACTTGCCAAACGGACCGTCCGCCAAGGATGGCATTTTCCCGGGAAAGGAAATCGCCAGAATTGACTTCTGGGAGTAATGAAAGCTTCCAGATATTAACTACTATTCCTTCGAAACTCAATGGTGATCATTGCTTCGAACTACACGCTCAGACATCGTGAAAGCCTAAAAGACAAAGATGACAACGGCATTGAGGGGGCCCTCTCTTTTATTTTTGAAATTCGATCCCTGCATGGCAAAGAGTGGACGTTTCATTTCAAATTTCCAGCCTAACAAGCTTGGCTATTGGTCATGTTGAGAGGGCCAGTGTAAAAAGACTCCGGATACACCCTTAAAGGCTGTCAGTCAAATGTACTTTTAGCGTTCTCGGTGGGGAACGGGCCGTACCAACGCCTCACCATGCAGGATTTGATAGCTGGGATTGGGTGATTGAAGTGATGTTGTAAAATTGTGTCTCCACTTTATTAGGTCGTGATTGGATAATTGAATGCCAGTTCAAGTTTCCAAAAAAAACGGGGATCTGGCCATGCAAACCACTGGCAGCGAAGATGGCAGTGTGATTCTGATTTTATTACGGATGCGATACGTCGAATCAATATAGATGAATGGCGTGTAATGAGGTCATGAGGTCAGACGTCCATTTTCAGCCCAATTGAATCACAGCAAGGAATTTATTACCCTCAATCAAATAGCTTGCCAGTGTTCGGGTTTTAATTCATCTCAAGTTGTCTCATCCTTCAAACCCTACGCGTACCTAAGCATTGACCTCGTAATCCAGTAAGACCCACCCGAGATAAAACGATTGTCCAAGTTTTCGACCTATCGAATCGGGCCACCAAGCGCACCAGGATGACTCAAATGAGAACTTGAAAGCAAGCATGAAGTTCGCCATCCTCCGTACTCCGTGCCGTGCCGCTAAACTGATCGCAGGATCAGAGAAACTAGACAACCTACTCCGTACCCCGTGGAAGGATCGTTGAGACGGGACGGACGGAATCCCCACCACCACAATTAGCGTGCACTAGCAATTCTAATAATTGGTGGAAGAAGTTGAATGAATTGTCGTACTTTTGCAGGTCAGAGCTACGGAGTAGTTGTAGCCGAAGTCTGGAGTGTTTTTCTCCTCCCGACCCCTGACTCGCGAGTAAGAACAATCCGTCCCTGGAAGGGGCAAAGCCGGTACGGAGTACAATTGACCATAAATGACTTCGCACGGAGAAAATGATCACCTAGACCAGTGGATCTTATGCTCACAAACTACGCAACAATGCATCCATGGAAAATTCCCGCTGGTATAATTCTGAACCCTCGTTGCACAGACTACACAACCGATGTGGGGTAAATCATAATCGTCGAGTGGAAGGAAGGCTGGTGGGGGAATTCTCTAAAGTCAATGGAATGCCACTGCAGACTAAGAAGCCCATCAAGACCAATGGCTCTAAAGAAAAATGTGAGCGAACATGCGACAATCAAAAGTTCTACTCAGTTTCTTTTCCGCCCAAACCGCCCCACCCACATCACCAGTTGACCACCATGGCCACAAGATTTCTAGGCGTGATTCTCCTCGCGATTCTATTCTATGCGACCAGAATAATTTTGTTTCGGAAGAAAGCTCCTGGCCCCTTACCCCCGGGGCCTGTAGGAAAGCCGATCGTGGGAAATATCTCTGACTTGCCTTCTCCTGGCACACAGGACTGGATGCATTGGCTGAAGCATAAAGACCAATATGGTACACACCTCAATTGAAGCGACATCGAGGTTATGAAGATAGAATCTTTACTTACGTTGCTATACAGGGCCAATTAGTTCAATCACTGTCATGGGACAGACTATCGTGATCATCAATAGCAGTCGCATCGCGACGGAGCTACTCGGGAAGCGCTCGGCACTTCACTCATCGCGGCCAAATTTAGTATTCGCCTCGGAAATGTAACAGTCTCTTTTGCGGATATTATTAATTGATTATATTTATTAATCTCCCTATTAGGGTCGGCTGGGAGCACATCCTAGCTATGCAAACCTATTCCGATCGATTCCGTGCCTATCGCAAAGCTATGCAGCCTTACCTTGGCCATGAAGCTGCCGTCTCGCAATACAATTCCCTGCAGGAGACGGAGACCCATCGATTCCTCTTGCGAGTATTGAAAGACCCGTCCAAGCTTTCACAGCATATCTCAACGTAGGTTGTGTGATAGTCGTACTAGTATGTTCAAGATGAAGCTAATACTACTAGGCGTCCAGTGAGGCAGGAGCAATCATTTTGAAAATTGCCTATGGATATACAATTGAGCCGCACAAAGTCGACCCACTTGTTCATATGGCAGGATTGGCCCTTGAGCATTTTGCTATTGCGGGATCGCCAGGTGCCTGGCTTGTGGATATCATCCCATCTCGTGAGAACGAACATCCACTCGAATTAGCCATTTTGAGCTTTGCAGCTGACATGCGCAGTTAAATATGTCCCTTCATGGTTCCCCGGAGCGAGTTTCAAACGTCTCGCAATGGCATGGAAAAAGAACCTGGAGAACACTGCAGATATACCATATGATTTTGTACAGGAGAGCATGAAAGCCGGTAATTTCAAGTCTTCATACCTCTCCAATCTTTTCAAGGTAGAAGGGTATCCGACTGCAGGGAGCGAAGAGGAAATCGTAGCAAAGTGGACCGCTGCGTCACTCTATACGGGTGGTGCTGACACGGTATGTAATTTGAAAAATACTGGAAGAGTCTTTCAACTCACATTTGATAGACTGTTTGCTCCATTGAAACGTTTTTCTTGGCGATGACTCTGTACCCGAAGTACAGCGCAAGGCGCAAGAAGAGATGGACCGGGTACTAGGCCCTGGCCAACTACCCAAGATTGCCGACCGGGAACGTCTTCCGTATATTGAAGCTGTTGTGAAAGAAGCACTTCGTTGGCATCCGGTTGCACCAATGGGTATTCCACACATGTCTGTTGAGGACGATATGTATGAAGGCTTTCATATTCCTAAGGGCTCTTTAATAATGACCAACATCTGGTATGCTTCTATGATACGTTGAGCGAAATCATGTTATTCTTCAAGTTACTGATGAAATAATAAATAGGGCTTTGACCCATGATCCTGAGGTATATCATGATCCGATGGAATTCAAACCTGAGCGATTCCTAGGTGTCGATGGTCGTGAGCTTGAAATGGATCCTCGTGCCGCAGTTTTTGGCTTCGGCCGTCGTGTCTGTCCAGGACGTTTCCTGGCCGATAATACCGTGTTTCTCTCCGTCGCGCAGTCACTTGCCGTCTTTAATATTACCAGAGGAACTGAGAGCGGAACGGAAGTGGAAGTGAAGCCTGAATTCCAGCCCGGTGTTATTAGCCACCCAGTGCCGTGGAAGTATGAGATCGGGCCCCGAAGTCCCCTGCACGAAGCTATGGTTATGTCCGTGGAGGAACAGCATCCTTGGGAAGAAAGTGATGCCCACAATTTAAATATGAGACAAGGTTCATAACTGAGCTCAAAATACGGAGCGAAAAGGGGAGGAGGGAAGAGAAGCGAAATCTTTAGGGGGTAGTGTTTCTCACTCGAGGGCTGTTGGAGGCTAGCAATCTCACTAGACCTTCCACAGTCACCTTCAAATCTCTCAATTGACTTTTTTCACTTGACTCTAGCCCTAAATATCCCCCTACACTATGCTTGCTGAGTGCATACAACCATACAGTGTGGAGAACAGGGCCTTCTGTCCGCTCAACCATACCCAAGCCACGTACTAAACGCAGTTAATATTCAAAAAGCCCTAAATCTTAAACTGGATTTACATTTTGTGTTTGGGTGAGTACTCCGTACAAGTGCTATAGATAAAATTATGGAGACCAAGGGTGTGAGAGATGAGAACATATGCAGAGACAGCGCGCCCGGAAAGAACTGGAAATAGACCAACCAGCAAAATGGCGCATTCCTGGTACTATGCAAGCCGCGTTATCGGGAATTTGGTTTTGGACGCCTTACTCTCTCGCAGTGAGCTAGTCATTGTGGCGGAGCTACTGGATCACGTACGCCTATCAGGCATGTGAGGCTTCGGGGAACAAAGTCTAATATCGAAAAAAGAAAAAGAAAATCCACACTGCGTTCACAGGAATGGGCGGGTTAAGACACAAAAGTCAGGCTAAGTGGTCAACGTGCAACTCTCAGGCTAAGCAAGATATTAGTAGTATGTGATCTTTAAATATTCTACGACAGATGCGGTTGCGAAATTGGAAAGGTAATCATATACGCTCGAAACCATTAATCAATGTCACGAAACAATGATTTTGTCAACTAAGTGCCTGGGATGAGTTGCAGTATAATGAACTCATGAGAAACTTGTATGGCAAGGAGACGCACAAAAACCAAAAAACCCATAAAGACCATAAAGACTAATTAAATTCGTCGCAAATGGTATTATTGTGTTAAAAAACCAGGCATGTCGTTCGAACATTAATTATTTAAAAGAATGGGACCGCAATGGCGAAGAGGAGATTAAGGAGCAAAAATCGAGGAGGAAGATTAATTGGTGACACCGCACCATTTATGGTGGCAGTCACGGTCGCTGTCACCGTATGGTCCTCAGAACTTGAACTTGAAGTGACACTAGGGCTCTCGGACGTTGATGATAAGTGCTGAGTGGTTGTCCCATGGGTTGTTCCATACACTGTCACCTCTGAGCTAGTTTTGGCGATTGTTGATCCGGACTGTACAACGGCCGAGCCTGATTCAATGAAAGTTGAGCCAGAAACGATTCGTGTCGAGCCATATAGTAGAGTTGTACCATGTGGCCTAGCAGTTGAAGGAACCGTTTCAGTCTGTGAACTAGTCTTTTCACCCGTTGAATCGGCTGAAGTTGGAGGTTGAGTCCTGGTGGCAGTGCCCGTTTCACGACTCTGAGTGCTGATAGCAGTGGTATCCCCAGAGGTCCTCGCGTCGGTGGTTGTCCTCGTAGTAGATCCCTTGGTAGTTGTGGCGCTCGTATCGGAGGTCGTACTTTCTGAGGCCGTGGTTAGGCCATCACAGTAAGTCAACCACTGTTCAAATGAAGGCAGGAGGGTCGATGAATATTTATCCAAGTTTCCAGTAGCGTAGTTGCTGACGCACTCCTCGCAGTTGCCCAGATTGACCCGGAATGGCGAACCACTTGTGCAAAGAGATTGTTTTTTCCCAACGCTTTGGGGAACTTGTGCTGCATCATTACAATCATTAAAGCAGACTCCTGGAACGTCCGAGCCAATATCCCTTTTCTCGGCCTTTCGGTCTACAAATCGATCCCATATTGATCTAGCTTTGACTTGTGGTGAGAAAGTGTCGCGCTTGCTGTACGCTGCAATCCCACCGTTTTCGAGCTGGAAGATGGAATAATTGAGACCAAATATCTCCGGGTTGAGGTTGAAGTAATCCTCCGAGACATTGTAATGCTGGCCAAATTTATCAGTCTGGCTGGATTGGTTGTAAAGCAAAGCAGGAGCTGGGATACAATCTTCGGGGGCGCAGATATAACCATTGGCTGGAAGGCCGGCTTCGACGTTACAACCGGAGCGGTCGCCCGTGTGGGGAGGCCGACAGAGAAATCCGGGGGGGGCAACCCCAGGTATAATCCGATGGAAGCTGGGAGGGAGGTGTATATGTGGGATTTGCAATCAAGCTGGCACATGTTGACAAAGTGACAGTGGCGGTAACAGTGCTTCCTTGTGTCTTTGTCTCTCCAGCTGGAGAAACGGTGTCCACAACAGTAGCGGTACTGGCCGGGCTTGTGATGGTCACTGTGGTTGTTGAACCTGCGATTGTAATTGTACTTCCAGCAGAAGTGATCGTGCTTGCAGGTTCCGTGGTGACACTTGTGATGGTCGATGCTGGAATTGTACTAATAATAGTGGAGGGTGATAAAGTCACTGTGGATCCACTGACGGTACGAGTAGATGTCGACGTATCTGTGACAGTTGATGTTCTAGTTATGGTGCTGTCGCCAACAGTTTGCGTCGTAATAGATATATCCGCTATAGTAGACGTTTCCGTGATAGTAGATGTATATGTGACATCTGATCCACCAATAGAGACTGTGACAGTTAAAATGTCGGTCTTTGTCGATTCACCAACAGTGGTGGTCAATATCGAAGTATCTGTGACCGTTGATTGCCCAACTGTGGTTGTCACTGTGGACCCAGGCTCGGTCACAGTTGTACCACCGATGTTCCTCGTAACAGTTGATGTCACGCCTGGGGCAGCACTCCCGGTGACCGTAACTGTTGATGTTGCGCCTGGGGCAGCACTCCCGGTGACTGTCACTGTTGAGGTTGCGCCTGGGGCAGCACTATCAGTCACTGTCACCGTTGATGTCACGCCTGGGGCAGCACTCCCGGTGACCGTAACTGTTGAGGTTGCGCCTGGGGCAGCACTATCAGTCACTGTCACCGTTGATGTCACGCCTGGGGCAGCACTCCCGGTGACCGTAACTGTTGATGTCACGCCTGGGGCAGCACTCCCGGTGACCGTAACTGTTGAGGTTGCGCCTGGGGCAGCACTATCAGTCACTGTCACCGTTGATGTCACGCCTGGGGCAGCACTCCCGGTGACCGTAACTGTTGAGGTTGCGCCTGGGGCAGCACTATCAGTCACTGTCACCGTTGATGTCACGCCTGGGGCAGCACTCCCGGTGACCGTCACTGTTGATGTTGCGCCTGGGGCAGCACTATCAGTAACTGTCACTGTTGAGGTTGCGCCTGGGGCAGCACTCCCGGTGACCGTCACTGTTGACGTCGCGCCTGGGGAAGCACTCCCGGTGACCGTCACTGTTGACGTCGCGCCTGGGGAAGCACTCCCGGTGACCGTCACTGTTGATGTTGCGCCTGGGGCAGCACTATCAGTAACTGTCACAGTTGAGGTTGCGCCTGGGGCAGCACTCCCGGTGACCGTCACTGTTGAGATCGGTCCACTGACAGCATCGGTGATAATTTGTGTAATGGTATCCGTAACTGTTGGCGCGGATCGCGTAATAGTGTCCGTCGTCTCATCAGTGATGGTCTCAGTGACCGGTTTGTCCCCGAGTCCAATCGAGATTCTCACTGTGACTCTGGCCGTCACTATGGCGCAAAGGTCAATCCCGACCCCGAGATCAACATCGAGATTTCGAGGAACTGGCGCGGCTGTTGGAACGAGCGAGAAGACATCGAGCTCATTTATGCTCTGTGTCGCCGACAGGCTCACAACAGAGGTCGCAAACAACGACAACCAAGCGATGAAGGCTTTCATTGTCTAGCTCCCTGAAGAAACCAATGCGCAGCTTGGTGAGATGTAGTGGGGGGAATGTAATCTTGGGACAGTTTTCGAGAAAAGAGTCAATAGCTCCCATCTTGGCCGAGCTCATGGCGCATTGAATGAATGCAGCTCAGGCTGCGAGGCTCTAAGTCAAACCCCGGCAGCACCACTGCCAGATTCCATGGCAACTTGGGCCTCCAGCCGGCTGGGATGCATGTATCCCACCATCAACACGAGGAATTCGTCGAACCGATCAATTATCCTGGAGCCTTGCATGCCATGTTGCAGCATCTTCGTATTATCTGCCCGATATCCCGGCGTTGCCAGTGGGCCAACAAAGGTGGATTCAGCCGCACGCGGGACAAACTGCCCAACCCCTCAATGCGATCGGCAACTTGCCCTGCGGCACTATCCCCCTCAGGAAAAGATCAAAGCCAGCTACGTGAGAATGGTTTGTCGTTTGTGGTTCTGACCGCCACATAGCTGCATGAAAGTGGATAAGGGACATGTATCTACATTGTCAGCAATGGAAGTGCGAGCCTGGACCGGCTGGGCTTTGGTCCAATGTGGAAGCATACTGCGCACAGTGCTAAAACTGCGCGTTCGCACTTTTTTGCCCAGTGGCGTGTTTTGGAACATTTCTTTGTTCAACAAAAGCCGCATGTCAACTTTCAATTCGAGTAGCTCCGCCACACCCATCAAACCCCACCTCCTCCCTTCACTGCGAGGCTGCGAGGCTGCGAGGCTGCCCCGTGCTCAGCTAATAGCCATCCGAGCGCGAGAATTCCGCCTGAAAGAAGTGGTGCGTCTGCAAACACTCAAGAGAACCCACTTCAAAAATGCATATCATTGAATCGATCCGGTAAATTATGAGGTTTCGTTCAGCAGCAGCCTGGACGCTGGCCGCCAGGGTCGGCTCTGTAGTTGGACAATGTTCGTCGTCGATGACCCAAGTGAACGAGACAATATGTACTTGGCAAGGAGTTCGGGGTAGGTTCGCAGTGTCTCCGATATTATTTGCACCGCTGACTGGGATAGCAACAATCATTCGCGATACGATCTTCATGGATGGCGGGCAGATATGGCTTCAACAGTATGCAATATACGAAGATCCACGATAAATCCAAGATCACCGACGGTCGATATGTGAGCCAAGCTGACTGTTGATTTCAGAGCGTTTGATGGCGGCTGCGTGAACTATACCGACGGTAACAAAGAGAATTTCGAGTCAACATTCAATAAAGTCACAATCTAACTAAAACCAGCTACGGCGGAGGGGCGCTTCTATACCCTGAACCTGTCGACCTCGTTCACCACGCGCTCGGATTTTATGACGATCCTCCAAAATACGTCCGTGGTGGGAGGAAGCTCCAGTAACTTCGCTCCGAATTACTTGGACGGCGCCATACTTGCTAATGACGATGAATTTTTTCTCTACGGGTTCGTGATGCCGTCCTTTGTCTCTTTGCCCTTCCTAGATACGGTCGTGATTGACGCTTTTAAACTGATTTTTCCCACTCTAGGGGTTCTAGCAGGAATATAGATGACTCCGAGAGCTCAAGCACTCCGGCTGACAATACCGTCCTCAAGTACGAAGCCTCTCAGTATGGGGCCTACCGATCAAACTGGTCACCGAACTGGCGATACGAGGACCTCTCGGATAATGTTACATCATATATCACGAATGGTGCGGGCGCATCGGCACCTAGTGAGGAATTGGCGTTTTATTTCAGCGGAATGCATGCACCAGGTTGGGGCTCCTTTACATGGAACGAGATGCAAGCCAGAGAGACTGCAGATACGCTTATCACGGTGGATATGTCCTCGATGCGTGATGAAACCTGGTCTAACGTTACACTCCCGGATTATATCCCCGGTCGCGCGAATGCCGAATTGATCTGGGTACCAGTGTCTAAGTCCGGTATCTTAGTGGCGGTTGGGGGAGTGATTAATCCAGTGGAGCTATGGCGAAATTCAAAGCTAAACGAGTCTCAGATAGCGGAGAGCAAGAGAATTAGTCCAACTTTAATGGAGACTGTCTCACTCTACGACGTGGATAGCAAGGAATGGTACCTTCAGAAAACAACGGGTGATATACCAGGACAATTGACCCAATTTTGCTCTGTGGTCGCGAGTGCGCCGGACAATTCGTCCTATAATATCTATATCTATGGTGGCTATGATGGTCTTGACTATTCACAAACCCCATCAGACGACGTTTACATCCTTTCCCTACCTTCCTTCAAATGGATCAAGGCCTATAAAGGCACCGGCAGTCATGGTCGCAGCTCGCATAAATGCTTCAAACCATATCCAAATCAGATGTTTGCCGTTGGAGGAATACACGGCTCCTCAACTGAATGTGTGGATGGAGGCATTGTTGTCAATTTCGACCTGAATGGTCTTACATTCCGAAGCGATTACGATCCTAACCAGTGGAGTGAATATAAGGTTCCGGATCTAGTAACAGCAGAAATTGGTGGCACGTAAGTAGTAGATAGTTGCCAGAAACGTCCGAAGCTTTGCTGATATATCCTTTTCTAGATCATCTGGCGGTGCAACCAAAACCGCTCCAACATCATGGACCAATGACTCTTTGTCTAGTCTCTTCGAACAAAAATACACCAAGTCGATGACGACCTTCTATCCTTATGCCTCAAGCAGCGCTGAAGGGGGAGATGCTACCTCCGGTGGCGGATTGCCTCATTGGGCTTCAGCAGTTATAGGTGTACTGGTCGGACTGTTCGGCGTGGCGCTCATTCTTGCTGGGATCTGGTTCTATCTCCGACGTCGGCGCCGAGCTCAAGCAAGAGAGGCTGAGGCTTCATCGGCAGCTAAGGCTGAGAGGGACGCAGATACCTCCCAGTCTGCTCAATTCATGTATGGGAGCGGACCGACTGCCCCGGTTCCGGGGCCAATGTCCAAATCCACGGCGGAGGCGACCACAGAGACCAATACGTCCACAGTTCCAGATTCACTCAGCACATCTCTATCCCCTCGCACGGTAGAGTCCGGGGAGACGAGCTGTATGAGATGCATGGTATCTCATTCCCAACCCGACTCCAACTCCCTTCCTAGCTGCTGATACTTATTGTTCATCTAGATTCATCACCCGCTGAACTACCTACTTCGTACAATTGGACCAATACGCCCGACACATCTCCAGAGCTGAGTGCAAGTCGTTTTCCTTTGCCGGTTCCACCGGAGTCGGGCTCTAGCTCCACTGCAGGACATCATCGAAGCCCGTCCACTGTTTCAACAGTACCGTCCATATCCATTGACAATGTAGTCAGCGGTCGACAATCTCATTTCAGAGAATCCTTTTCTTCTGAAGGCGGGGAGAAAAAGCGAGCTCGCCATGGATCTGGATTTTCCGATGTAAGTGCGATTTCGGATGAACGGGACAAGTTTACAGGCAGTGAGAAGATTCACGAGGAGGAATAATTGTCAAATATCCAGTCATAATCATAGTATAAGGTAACATCGCATCTGATAGCTATGATGAACGAAGCGAATTTTTGCTTCTAGACCAGTAGACAAGGAATTCCCTACCTAATGCTTTCTCCCTTCTTACTGAATGATAAATTTCTAGAGAGCAAGTCCATTTGCTGATTCAGCAACTTTCAAGGTTGGCTATATTTAGTATTATCACTGAGATATATGTGTTTAAATCACCGGGTAGTAGTATTCCAAGGTTTTTTGTAGTGTCACTAGTAGACCTGGGCATATGGGACCCATTGGACTAGACTTTGCACACATCTCATTCTGCCATATCCCATGGAACTTAGTCTTAGTCCTCTCCCATCCCATGTCCAGGTGGGAATGTTAGCGAATCCCATGGATCCCATAAATACCTAGGTATCCTATGAAATTTATAAAATTAATTAAATATTATTTGTATCTGCTAAGACTACGTTAATTGTTTTTGTTATTTTGAAAAATAGATATAAACTAAAAGAGAATAACTTAATTAGTAGTGTTAGAAATATTTTTAAAAAAGAAGGAACTTCGAGTTTATTAAAATGTCACGATACTACTAATATGATCCCAGCAGTGGTTTAATAGTGCCAGGTGCAGCAATATTTTACTTGTAAACAGATATATACATTTCAAATTATTGAAAGTTATACAAAATATGAAAGAGACCCCAGAAATTACGCGTTTCACTAAGATAAAGAATACTAGTATACACTAGCCTCATATAGCTAGTATTATTCCCATGGGTCCCATGGGAATCCCACCGCCCATGCACAAGTCTAATCACTACTAGTAGTACCTATGCCATAATTACATAAACCCTGGAATTGGGTTTCTCTTAGTTTTATTACTCTCTACTGCAATCAAAACCTATATTATAAGGCATAATAAGAAATTTTGAGTTGTTGAGATATATGAAGTGTAATTTCTTACATTTACTGCATTTCATGGGACTGCCGACTCGGTGGTGGAACATGTTATAGTTTGGTTTTTCAGTTCTAGACCCAATTGCACTAAGAAGTCATTGTGTGCATTGCTTATTTTTCGCGGGCGTCATAAGAACGGCTGTCCGCCAGCAGTATCTCGTAGATGGGATTCAACAAATTATGAGGAATAGGAAGAGCATTTAACTCGCTAATTTGCATCAGCTTGGGCTTTGAGACGTCAAAAATGCTCTTGATAGTATCCTTCCAATCCATATTCATCTGAGCCTCACGTAGGAAATTTCTGATCTGAGCTGCGGAATCTTGCACATCTAGTGTAGGATCCTTCTCAAGGTGAACAGTGATTTCTGCATGGCTGGGAAACGATCCCAATGGAAGAAAAAGACCACGTTTGTTTGTCGTGATGCTTCCCTCAACTTGAAATGTTCTCACTGCGGTACCAGGGCTCATCCTGATTGATACGCGAACTTCCTTTTGCCGCTTGTATCCGACAAGGAGTACGTTCCATTGGCGGGGATCGAACTTTTCATGGCTGAAACTAATTGTGGGACCAATGACCAACTTATGATTGTCCTGATGGAAGGTGACTGGAGTGCGGTGAAACTTGACTTGATCCACTGATTGACCCTTTCCATCATCTTCCAGAAGCTCGAATTGACCGTCGGCACCAACAACCACCATGAGGTCAATGGCAGAAGGAATCTGACAGCCATTTCCAAGAACCAGGGATCCATCTGTCGGGATGATGGCGCCTTCGCGTGCGAAGACTGGATATTTCATTATGGAACGATAAAGTCGAAGGCGGCGGTTTCCTTCATACACGATGCCAGTGGAAAGGTCAACATATCGACCTGGAGGAAGCCAGGCGATGACCTCCGATCTTTGTGAATTTGCGTTAACAGGACCAGTGACAGGAGCAATAATGAGCTCGGAGCCAAACATATACTGATTGGGAACGTCGTAGGCTTCTTCGCTGTCGGGGTAGATCCAATACATGGGTCGGACTAGAGGAATACCCTGTTTGGCTGCGTGGGCATTCATCGTGTACAGGTATGGAATCAGACGATGGCGAATGTTAAGATACTTTTTCATCGCACATTGATATGGCTCTGAAAGATTCCATGGTTCCTTGACGCTGAAAACATTGTTGGATGAATGCAGTCGCAAGATGGGGGAGAATGCGCCAAGCTGAACCCAACGGATGAGCATTTCCTCGCTTCTTTCGCCATGAAAGTGGCCACCAATATCATGACTCCACCAGCCATATCCGATATTTGAGGCTGTGGCTGTGAACTCAGGTTGGAATTTGAGAGAATCCCATGTCATGCAAGTATCTCCACTGAACCCGATGGGTAAGCGATGGCTACCGGGTCCGGCATATCGTGAGAAGGTCAGTGGCCGCTTGTTGTCAAGTGCACTGTCCAGGAAGTGATAGTGGTTCAAGACCCAAAGAGGGTCGATGCCTGGGATACGGGAGTGTGTTCCTTGTTGCCAGTCGACCCACCATAAATCAAGGCCATCTCTTTCGAACTTTCGGTGCAAGACATCAAAAAATGCATCGAGGAACGCTCTATTGGTGATGTCAAATGGAATAGGGTCTCGCATCGATGTGTCATGTTTCAGCGTGAGCGCCATCTCCTCGTAGGAGTCTTCGTAGCCTTGAACTCCATCTGCGGGATGGTCATTCAAGGCAACGCGGTAGACCTTTCTCATGCAGTGCTGTCATAAAAGCCTTTGGGTCGGGGAATAGCGTTTTGTTCCATGTGTATCCAGTCCAGCCCGTCACTCCGGCCTCTTTGACTCGAAGGTCATTCACAATGTGCCAGTCCATGTCCAGGACAGCAACAGAAAGGGGAACTCCGTTCTCCTCGAACTTGTCCATCAGCTCAAGATATTCCTCTGATGTGTATGCATGGTATCGACTCCACCAGTTTCCCAGTGTCCAGCGAGGGAGAAGCGGTTGCGGACCGGAAAGACTATAGAATGCCTGAATTGCCTGTTGGTAGTCATGTCCATAGGCAAAAAGGTAGCCATCTATCCTGTTTCCTGATCGTCTTGTGGTCACCCATTGATTCTCATCAAAGAGCATGGATTTGGAGTCATCTATAGTCGCGAAGCCCTGTCTGGAAATGACACCATTCTCAAGTGTTGTGCGCCCATCAATCTCATCCAGTGTACGAGCTGTGCCTCCAAGATTCGAAGTTGGGGCTCCATATCGCCAGACACTGGAATGAGGGCCGAAGCGGCCTTTGACGGAGGCACTGAGACCGCTTGCGGAGAATTTCCCTTTGTTGTAGGTCAGGTGGAATCGGGAAGTGATGATCTGAAGATTATATTTGTCGCATTTCACTCGAAAATCAGGTACAGGCAACCGTCGATTGATTGCCAACACTGATGCCCGGTCCTCGAACTGATGATCCTCAGCCCATTCGTAACGTAGCAAGCCATCGGCCAGAATTGTGAATCGATATTTTTCAGTACCGCCGACCATGGCGTCGGGGTGAGCGACTGGCTCATGAGGGAATGAGTACCGATGCATGTCTGAGATCCGGAGGATGAAAGAGAGAAGCAGGTGAAAAACTTCAAGAATGGAGAGAGCATATTGTGGTTTCTCATTTAAGCAACCTCACAGTTGGCAGTTGTCTCATCCCATCATAACTCTTCAATAACTTCGCCGCAATTTTCGCTGGGATTTTTAGTAGTATGACCTTGCGACACAAGCCAAAAAATTAGTGGCGCATCCGCATGTCACCCTGTCGTCTATTGTCTCGCTCGGACTTACTAGTAGCCTTTGATGGCGTTCACCCCGCGTCGAGGCCAAAAGCAACTAGCAAAAGCGGGGAACAGCCGTTAATCAAGGTCGACGATTTAATTTTCGCTGCAATTCCTGACATCGGAAAATAGTCTGAAATATGGAGAGTCCTTGTGATAGTTGTTTCATCCGTCGGGTGAAATGCGATCGATGTCAACCATGCCTAACCTGCCGCACCAGAAGTCAGAAATGTACCTATGTGAGGATCCGTAAGAGGCCTGGTCCAAAAGGCCCTCGATTGGCCACAAATCGCAAAATCGAGGAAATCCAGGAAGCCCCTCAGCCAGATTTCAAGATGGCAGCAGCCCTCCAACATCCTACAGCACTCTGTTCCCCGGACTTTCGCATTTCTATCGCCAACTATTACACCGTCCTTGGTATCTTCCAAGTCCACCTATATGATGTATGGCCAATCATCGATGTAGAGAATCTCAAGTTGCAGTTAAATAGCGAAAAGGCGATTGATCCCAGTTCTCACGCACTGGCGGCTGCCTTGTGTGCTGCAACGCTGGCACAAACCCGACTCTGGCTTACCAAAGATACATGCCCCGAAGGTCTTGCTGTGACAGCCCACGAATTTTTAAAGGAATGTCTACGAGTTCGATTGGAGCACAGCTACAACCAAGCACCATCTCTTCAAGCTCTTGTGACATCGATCTTTCTTCACATGTACTATGCCAATCAAGACCAGGTCACGCCGGCGACGATCTCCCTTCGTGAAGCTATCACATATGCGGACCTAATGTGCCTGTGTCATCACGGTCCGCCCAATGCGGCAGAACCAAGGCAAAGGCAATTGGAGCTCCGATGCTATTGGGTTCTTTTCATCACTGAGAGGTTAGCATTAACTTTCCCTGCAAAGCGATCGCTCCAACTGATATTTCTAGGACTTTCTGCATCCAGCATGACCTTCCGATAACCCTCTACAGGATGCCCGATCTTCCCGAAGTTGGGTATAACAGTCCGATGGCTGATAGTTTTACTGGATTTCGCACCCTCATTCAGCTATTTCATCACATCCAACGCCCTTTATACCTCGCCTCATCTAAGAGAAAAGCCATTGGAGCACCGGAGGAGAGATACTCCAAGAACGCTATTTCAGAGATCCAACATCTGATGGAGCTCAATCAGCCTGGACTCAAACTGAAATCCGAAATTCAGTATGTAGATATCCTGACGACATCTGCTTGGATCCGCTCTTTACTGTGGCAATACTCTGTCTCGCACTTCATGCTTTCATCGGCGACCTCAATTCAGCCATTGTCATTTGACTACCCACTGTCGATTGCTAGAGAATATTTGGCATCGATCTCCCATGTATCAATTGAGTCAGTGCGGAGCCATGGATATGGAATGGTAAGTTATTTCATCCAAATAATTCAGAGCAGGCTGACCAATACTGACCCCAAACGCCTTCATAGGAGATCAAGCTGCTTCAAGTGGCAAATCCCATCTTGGACTTGTTACTTTGTATGCCAGACCTCGCTATATACAAGACAACTCACTTCGGACCACTGGATGCTCTTCTTGCCATAGAGCAGCTTCTTTCAAAGGTTGGAGGATCAAAATCCGAAAGATTGTGTCAGTTGCATGACAGATTGAGTCAGATTCCCGCCGCCTTGGAATATATGCCATCAAGGCTAGAGTACCCTAAACAGGAGGATGATTTGCAAGATGCCTTTGAGCATGAAACTATACATATGTTACCCACAGCCCTGGAGTAAGATGCCTACTCTGCTGTTACAATATCACTTCCAGAAAGACTTCAGCACTGGAGGTTTCAGTACAAATATAATCGCTTCGGAATTTCAAACACGTCATTCGTAGTCAGTCGATATAGTTCTTTAATCCGAAATACCCTGCCCTCAGTATTTTCATCACTTGTGTATCTTTTTGCGGTGTTCACGGGCATGAAGCTTACTCGAACTCCTACTAGTAGGAATACCTTTCTAACGAAACTAGAATAATAGAATTAAGATTTCATTTAGACGAGCGAATGTGATTCGAAGGTTGTTGTGAACTTGTTTCTCGCTCGGAATTGTATAAACCTATCCCTAGAACATCAACCTTACCCCGAGCGCGTTCCTAGCCTCGTATCAACCGCCAAGTCTGATAATGGATAAGTATGATGTACCGATCTACCTCGATCTGATAGCTAATACTTCTCGGAGATCGTATGTGCGTTGACAACCTCAAAATTAGCCGATCGGAATGGCGTAACCTCAAACTTGGTGAAATTCCGAGCAGAAACCTTCTTCTCGAACAAAATGTCCATTTCAGCCGGTGTTCGCCCCTTGGGTTCTGGAAGACGGAAGAATGACCAGACAAAGCATATGAGACAAAAAGGTGCCCAGATGAACCCACCCTTGCCCTTCAGATTCCAAGCCAAAGGGTTCAGAATGGGCGGGTTCAAGAAGTTGGCAACGATACTGGCGACATTGTAGCAGTTACGAGCAAGAACAGTACTCTTGATTCGAAGACGAGTAGACGGGATCTCAGAAATGAGACAGTAGGTAACAGGTCCAACGGTCAGGTCGTACGTGAAGACGAAAACCATCAAAAGAGCAGCCGAGGCGTAGCTGATTCCTGTATTCTTCCCACTAGGGATACCGAGGAATCCAACCATCATCAGGATGGAGAACAAGATACCAAGACCGGTAACGAACAATTTGCGGCGTCCAACTCGCTGCATCACGAACCAAGAACAGATGGTACCACACCAGCCGACGGCGTTCAATCCGAGTCCGAAGTTGAAGGCTTGCTCGTTGCTGAAGTTGATTTGTTGCAGAAAATAGACAATGTTGCCACCGTACCAGATACCGCAGAAGACTTGGCACATCCAGACACAGCAAACGATCTCTGTGCGGCGGAAATCGACTCCCTTGAAACAGTCCCAGTATGATACACCCTCCCGGGAGAGCTTTTCGTTGGCATTTGTGAGGATCATCAATGCAACGGCATCTGTCGTATCATATTCTGAGATTCCGGGTCTGGACAGGCGATTGAGAGATCGCTTTGCATCTTCGGTTCTACCATTTCGGACGAGCCACCACGGAGACTCCGGTGCGAATAAAACACCAATGATAATTGGAACAGGCCACACCCATTGGATTGCGTATGGAATGCGCCAGCCCCATTGATCAGTACGTCCCAACAGTCCGCGCAGGATTCCGGCAGAGATAAACTGTCCTGTGACCCAGCAAAGGTTGACGTAAGTTGTCAGGTATGGTCGAAGCACAATAGGACTGACTTCGGCGGCGTACGTCGTTGTCAACGTTTGGAAGGCTCCCCATGGGATCCCACAGAGGATTTCACCAATAAGTAGCATGATGATATTTTGGGCGAAAAACATGAGGAAAATAAAGGAAGTCAGTGCAACCAACGCGCCGAGCATAGTCTTCTTGTAGCCGAAGCGGTCCGCAATGAGACCGGCAAATACTAGACCGAAAATCTGGCCAACGTTGGTTCCATTCTGCAGGCCAGTCTGCCAGTTTGACGTAACCTGATAGCCATTTGCTTCGCTGTGGACTCCGAATTTCTCGCGGAAGGTCGGATAGGCGTAGAACGAGCCGAGGAGAGAGGTGTCGTATCCCTCCATGATGATAGCAAGAGAAAGGACGAGCGAGAATCCGATGGCCTTCGGGAAGACCTTGAAGGCCTCGCGATTAGTCAAGCTATGCTCAAAATTGGATGCGCGATGAGCCTGTTCCACAATGTTGGCGAAGTCGGGGATTTGCTCAGACATACGCAGGAGAGCATCATCATCGATTCCGATGATATTCTCCCCCAACGGCTGGGTTGGCACTGCGAGCTTGTGCTCGACATGAGCAGTCGCCTTTGAATCCATGGCAATAGATAGACGTGACTACCAAGATGAAAAGGTCGATGAAGAGGAGTTAGAATCTGAGATAATGTCTCTAAGATAAAGAAGGAAGGAGAGAAGGAATTTGATCTAACTTATATCAGTTTTTGTCCTACACGATCTGACATTATTTGCGCGACATTCGTGGAACAAGGGCATGGATGGCCACCACATGTTCGCTCGAACTTTGACAATTTAACTTTCGCGGGGTTTTCCGGGGAAATACAGTTAAGCTCCAGTTAAAGAATCCTCGTGATGTTTAATTATATCTTAATAAAGTGTTGATATCTTCTAAGCCGAAGCCCTCGCTGTGATTCTCGGTACCACTCAGCAACCGTGTGGGGCTTAAGTTCCACAGACTGGGTGCAACATATCGGTGGCGCAGGAGTGACTCGAGGACGCCACAAAGGTTGGTGAGTGAGTGTCAAGCCTTCAAAGTAGGATAGTACATCCCGCGGTCTAACGCGCTAGAGCTAGTTCAGCCACGAGCTACCTTAACCGAGGTTGAGAATTCAGCGAAGGAAGTTTGTGGCGTGCTCCTCGCTAGAATTGACCTCTAGATATCTCGTATAACAATATTTGTATTTATCAAATTACCGTTGCAGATGCATGGCTGTCGCTATAATTTTCGGGGTTAAAGGTCCCCATATAAGGCCTATTTCCAAAGCCAAGTGGGGTATACTGTCCGAAGAGGTCATAGCATAGTTCCGAGTTCCGTGCTCGCCAATTTAATCTAACATCCATGCATTGATTCAATTTTTCGGGCCGGCATGTAACTCGGTCATTTGATTGAATGGTATGCCAAACCCACTGCTTTGGAATCCCCGCATTCTGCTGCAATGCTGGGGTGTCTGTGTGCTCCAAGACTTCACTAGGGTGAAATTTCAAAGAATGACACATTTAAAGTAAACATACTAGCAGAAAAAAAGAACGATTGTCAAACACAGGTTTCACAAGACCGAGCCTCTGGGTCATTGCATTGGAAGTCTTTCATCATGTATTATGTTACTAAATTTCTCATGGGACTTTATCACCCTCTGCTATGCTCTGCAGCAGTGATATCCCAGCGCTCCATTGCTCAAGGCTGGTCTCTCCAAGCAAGCACCTGCCCTAGCGGAACCCAAGCCTGTGGTGCTGGAGGTTGTTGCCCAAGCAGCCTTTACTGCTTCAGCGCGAAAGCTGCGGAGGTTGCTTCGTGTTGCACTTCAAGTATGCGACGACCTATCTTTCTATGTAATCGATACGACTAGGCCCCGAGCTAACATCGCGGAATAGATTCAGTCTGTGTCGGTGCTATTGAAGGCTCGCCCAAATGTGCAGACTCAAATTGGTCACTGTGGCAAGGATTACAGGGTAATGACTTCTGTTGCCAAGTTGGACTGATTGGTGTCTACCAATCTTCTGGGACTGTTGCTGGTATCTGCGTTTCCTCTGGTCAGACAGGCTCTGCTACCACTGCTAGGCTGGTATTATACCCCGCAAAAGTGTTTAAATACAAACGGCTGACATGTCTGCATCAGGTTTCTGCTGGAACTGGAACTACGGCCACTACGACAAGCACAAGCGCTATTACCACAACCACGACATCTACAAAGTCTACCACAACCACTGCGACACAGCCAAGTAGCACCAAAGCAGTCTTTGCGCATTATATGGTACTTTGCCCAGATTCAAAAGGTCTGTTCATGGGACACTAATGACAATTAACTAGGTCGGCTCCATGACTTCAGCAGAAGCGGTCATCGACGTGAGAGATGCAATGAATGCAGGATTCGACGGCTTTGCCCTGAACACTCACACAATCAGTTCATCAGATACATGGAATATCAACGCGCTGAACTACCTCTTTGCCGCTGCATCGGGAACCAATTTCAAATTATTTATCTCATTTGACATGAGCTGGGGCTTGGATGTCACACAGCTTGCAGCCTTCCTAGCGCCATACGTGAGCCAAGGCGCATACTACAAGGTCAACGGCCAGGCTTTCGTTAGCACCTTCACTGGTGGCACGATCTCTAACGCACAATGGGATTCCGGATTTATTCAGCCTATGACGTCGACCTATGGCATCAAGCCATTCTTTGTTCCTGACTTTGACGACTTCTCTGGCTATCCTAATAGCGTTTTTAGCTCCTATCCTATTCTCAACGGTGTTTTCAGCTGGGAGTCTGCATGGCCAGCCCCCGGAAGCACTCCCACCAATGTCAGCAGTCAAGTGGATTCGGCTGCTTTACAACAAGCTCATGCGGCTGGAAAGCTCTACATGATGCGTGAGTAATTCGAACACAATCGGCGCGCGTTACAAACTTCTAATCAAGTGATGATAGCGATTTCGCCATTACAATTTAAGTACATGGGCAGTGGCGAAGACTGGTATCGTGTCGGCGAAGTAAACCTGCCAGAGCGCATGGCCCAAGTCTTGCAGCTGCAGCCCGATTTCGTAGAATTCATTACCTGGAATGACGCCGGCGAGAGTCACTACGTTGGTGACTTCTGGCAAGAACAAATTGCAGGCAGCAATATCGGAGATTATGCCAATGGATATGATCACAAAGGCTGGTTGCAGGTCATTACGCCATTTATCAAAGCCTACAAGGCTGGCGCGACGAGTATCTCTCAGATTGTCCCGACTACCACTAAACCTGTTGGTGCATTTTGGTACCGCCCTCTTTTGACTACTGCCAGCTGCTCCTCTTCGATTGCCAATTATCAATCGGCTCGTGATGTTGTGAACTTTGCCGTCGTTTTGCCTTCTACTGGATACACTATCAAAGTTTTCAGTAACAACAAATTGATCGGCAGTTTTGTTGGTCAAAAAGGGCTGAACTACAATAGTGTCCTAGGGCTTGCTGTTGGAGGGGGGCAAATGATTCAGGTTGTTGATGGCTCTAATAACATTATTGCATCAGCGAGTGGAACAAAGAGTGTTCTCGCTCAGAGTACCAATGCTACTTGCAATTGGAACTATGAGGTCGTGGGGCTCCCCTGAAAGGCTGGCAAAATAGTGATCCATCTTCTGGGACTGACATCAATTTGAAGGCGAGCTTAACACCCCACTAAAACACCCAAGTAAATATGGCAGTTCGATCTAGTCTACGGCCTTCAATAGCCTAGAAGAAGCTTATTCTTCTCGATCCTTCTATTACTACTGATTTTTGAGTAGCATATTGACCATTAAGTGCACTACTTGGTGGGAACTATGAGCAGCTGACATACGACGCCCCGCGTAGGGAATGTATAGCAGCAGACATGATTGAAAGTGTGAGTTTTAATTTCAGACACCGATCCCAGTTCCACACCAGAGCCACTAAACGCACATGAATGTGCGGGGTCCGGACGAAATATCCTGACTCCTGATAAAGATGAATAGTTTCTTTGACTATTAGATTTGATATCAATTCCCACAAAAGCCGCACCTATCGATTTTACAGCCAAGCTGATCTGCTGCATGGTGAGATACTCCGTTCAGCAACCCAAGGATGATCTGGTTTAGCATGAAGGTTCGATTCCTTTTCTTCCTAATTAGATTTATTTTTCTAGAGATCTTAGGAGATCTTGGGTTCGTATGAAATACTCCAAGTGCTAGGTGAATCATATGTCATTCGGTATTACTCGTGCAAAGGCGGAAGCTGAAAGAGTCACTGTGAAGGCGATGTGATGATCTGGTAGATCCAAGGGTTCACGGAGTGAATCGAGGAGGCCGCAAAGTTACGAAAATAATTTCGAAGCTCCCAGGTGTGAAAGGCAGAAAGTGGACGAATAATTACTAGTTTGTTAGGGTGAATGTAATCAATAGGTAGCAAGCTTGCCAGTTGTATACCACTGGCAGTGATACCCCGAAAACATAGACCTGGAGCCATGGAGTACGACGGTTACATAAGTTTATTGACGGAAATTGACATAATTGAGATCTACCATCAATACATATAATCAATTCAAGTACTCTTAGCACAAAACTCTATGCAGTCGCATAGATACGACTCAATTTACTCTGGTCATACTCATGCGCCACAATATCGTCAAAGACAGCAGGGTATTTTTCACTGACCATGGGTGCCAACGGCTTCAACGATGCTGCTGGGTTAGGCTTTCCAAAGTAAGCAATACAGTGTCGAGCAGGCACCGATCCAGTCTGAGGAGAAAGCTTTTCCGCATTGATAGGAACACGATGACACGCGGAGTAAATACGCTTGTTCATCCAACGCATCATCGAATCGCCTACGTTGACGATCAACGTTGGGAACGTACATTGTACAGGGTAAAATTTGCCGGAGCTTTGATCTTGGACCTCCAGACCACCGGATCCATCCTGCATGAGGAGAGTCAACGAGCCGAAGTCCGTGTGCTCGGCGATTCGGGTCTGGTCGGTCTGGGTGATCCGGCTCTGTGGGACTTCGAGGTAGTGGAGGAGACGCAGTTCACTGGCGCGAGCGTCATGGAGTGAGTCGAAGAAGTGCTCGTCCATTCCGAGGGAGATGGCTAGCGCGCTCATGATCTCAAGATGAAGTCGATAGCATTTCTCATAATAGCCAAGCATGTAATCTTTGAAACCGGGGACATCGGTCTCCTTGGGCCATATGTTCGGGTACATTTCGTTTTCTGGAGCTCCGTGATCGAATGATTCCTAATGAAATAATTTATAATCAATCCCGTTGAACAAATGTATCCTGGCAAGAGAATTACCTTCAGATCGACTACTACCTTGCCGCCGTCTTCGCCGCGCTCGAAACCTGTGACACCCGAGATGTTCTCTTGGCCCACATAACTATAACCTCTGTGGGGGTTTGGCCGCGGAGGATGCGCAAATTCATTTTTCTGCTCTTTGCTGAGCGCAAAAAGTGCCTTGTTCTAGTATGTCGAGGTAACAGCGTTAGCGGTGTCTCGTCTCGCGTGGGCCAACGCTTACGTATTCTAGGCCTTCCGTCACATATTCAGCGCTGAGGCCATGATTGATCAATTTGACGAAGCCATTCTCTCTGAAAGACGCAAGCAATTTCTGACAAAACTCCGACCGTTGAATTTCGTTTCCGCTGTGGAAGTGGGAAAGATCGAGAGTATGTAGCTGATCCATGATGAATCTTGTGCTTGAGTGGAGATGCCAGTCTCACCAAATTCGCGTAATACTTCCCCCAGGCCCCTCGATAGATATAGTACTTGTTCCAGGGTTCCTGCAAGCCTTGAAAAATAGCCCCAAAAAGATTAGTACCTAGTTACTCGCACGAAGTGAGCACACAGGGGCCGAAACGAAAGTGGTACCACCGTGATGTGGCCACTGCCTAGGCGGGCGTCGATCGGCTCACTCCCCCACGTGAGGTGAGAAAGGAAAAGGTAAGAAAAAATCAACTGTAGACTTGGCTTCAAAATTTCGGTAGCTCGAAATTGCTATCGTTTCTCACACAGCAACTCTAGAATCATGGGCGTTGCTGCAGTGGACCTTTCTCGTCTGCAAGGAAGCCCCGCCGAGCGAGAGGCCGTTCTCCTCGCTTTTCTCGAATCGTGCGCATCTCATGGTTTCGTTAAAATAATTGGCCATGGAATTCCGGAGGAAAATTTGAAAGAGCTCTTTCGTTGGGTAAGTTCCCTAAATTGGAGAGAATGATAGCGCTAATGATTTGTTCCAGACCAAAGAATTCTTCGAGTTCCCGGCCTCGGTGAAACAAACAGCACCTCGTCCGCTTGTTGGGCCAAATCGCGGATATATTGCGGTCGGAGGAGAAAAACTCTCTGGAATCTCGGGTTATATGAAAGGAGTGCGAAATCCGATTATGCGAAATGATGTCAAGGTATGCAGCTCCATGTTTCCCTTGCCAGTTCAATATCTCATCTCCGAAGGAATCATTCGATGCAGGCCCCGAGCATGACAAGATCCACCCCACCCCTTGGCCTGTAGGTCCACGCTGTGAGGAATTCAGGGTGTTTATGGAGGCATTCCTGTTGAAATGCTTAGCGGTGCATAATGACCTTCTGCAGCTTCTGGAAGAGGCCTTGCATTTGAGTCCTAATGACCTGACCTCTCGCTGCTCTGCTGGAAACAGTGAGCTGCGCATCACACACTACCCACCTGTCCCGATCGCGCAGTTGAGAACAGGGTCCACATATCGTATTTCTGAGCACACTGATGTTGGAATTCTCACATTGCTCTTCCAAGACACGGTGGGCGGACTCGAGATCGAGGGACAAACCAAGTCCTCGGAGTTTATCCCAATCGAAAGTTCAAATCTCAATGAGATGGTAGTCAATTGCGGCGACACCTTGCAGCGATGGACAGCGAATTATCTTCGTTCTGCAAACCATCGTGTGACATACCCGCCAGGGTTGCAGGACGCAGAGGCTTTGGTTCCAGCTCGATACTCGGTGGGATTCTTTGGTAAGGCGAACATGTCCGCTTCTATGGCCGCACTGCCAGAATTTTCATCACGTTTAGAGGGTGGAGTGGATATGGATGAGAAGACCGCCCAGGAGTATTATAACTACATGCACGAAAGAACGGTTGCTGCATAATTTCATTCGCACTTTTGTGTAAGTGATTCTTTCAGTTGAAATTTGATTCAAATGCGACACACTTGAAGATCAGAGAAGGGACGTACAACAAAGTAACTTCTAGTACACTAGGTACCAAAGAATTAATTCACCTATACCTACTAACCAGGTAGGTCACGGTAGTATAGATGTTAGGTAACAACTTTGGAAAGTAACTTGAAGTACTCCGTAACTATTAGTACTATCTACCCTAAGGGGATATATGTAAACGATTGAAGCCTTCGGTGCCTGGGCACGTGTCTAAACACGTGACCCGAGCGGCCGCTCATGTATAGACAGTTGCGATGGGGGGGAGCTTCTCTCCTTCTCTCTCTCGGCTTTATACCTTCGTTCAATACTACTGCTATCTTTCGAAAGATCTGAGTCCTTACAATATATCTTACCATAATAATTAATATCTCCAGCGTTATCAACTAGCTTGGTACTAAGAAAAAGATCAAATTTAATAGATACATTATTGTTGGGATACTAAGACATAATTGTTCCCCCTTAACTATGGTACCTACTAGTAAACTGGGAAATGGCAGGTCACTTCGGACGGTGTGGCTCGCTTAAAGTTCTGAAACACCTGAGCACGTTACTATAGTAGTCCCCGGTTATACCGGACCTGCTTTTCAGGGATTTTCACCAATATAGCTGGTTGACCATGTGTCAAACATTGCAAATCCTATGCTGTATACAGGGGATTCCCCCTAGATTCCGGATCCCTAAGATGGTTTTCGATTCTCCGTTCAATGTAAGTGATTTATCAGCCATTTTACCAATTTTGGCACAGCCACGGAATGGCCTATCAAATAACTAACTGCCAAGCCCCATTTATCACGTAAGGGGGTGTCCTTGACTATCTAAAGATACCGACACTAGTAGTAACAACACCATATCAAAGCAAAATATATATACCCACCAGATGTAAACCGCCCGCGGGTGGATAGGACATATGCCCATGTGTCTCAAACTTGAACTTCCAGCTTGTAACTTGAAAAAGTCAGTCATGGCCGGGGACTACTAGTACAGGACAAACAACCTTGGAAGAGGGTTTAACTTAGACCCCTGGGTTCGGAAGCGGGATGTGAAGCCCTGGAGCGCGATGTGTAAACTTGAACTTTGAAATTGAGGTAGATCGGTGGGACTAGGCAATTGTCATAGACGTGCTCTTCCAGCTACTAAACATTCATCAAATACCAACAAAAGTCGCTGCACAGCATCCTCGCTAATCTGATAATGGATCACCAAGCGCGGACCGTCTAATTTCACGCCGTATCTAGCCCCAACTTCAGCAAAAGCAGTTGCGGAATACCCTGCGGACCGAATATCCAACCACACGATATTGGTTTCAACATTACGAGTTAACTTCCCTTTCCGTTGTTGCCATTCATTACCCATTCTCTTAGCCATGCGGTGCGACGCGCGGAGTCCATCCGCCCGCTCGCCGCGTCCCTCCCACCCGAAATTCTCGTCGATCGCAGCACGCATCATCACAGTGATAACACCAGTCGGTCGCAAGCCTCCCCCAAGTGCTTTTCGAATTCGTCTCGCGCGGGTGATCAGCGCCCGCGAGCCAAGAACCATCGTACCGATCGGCGCACCCAGATTTTTCGAAAAATCCAAAAATACCGTGTCGAATAAGCTACAATACTCGCGCATGGTACCCGCCCCTGCAGCAACGGTTTGAAAAAGACGCGCACCATCCAGATGTAGTCGAATCTCGTGTTTTCGCGCCCAACTGCAGATTCGGCGCATTTCTGTCAGGGGAGTGATCGCTCCGTGGGCGGTGTTCTCCAACGAAATTACCTTCGTCGGCGCCTTTTGCACATCATCAGTTATGATCGCCCGGGGCTGAATATCCTCCAATGTCAGGTACAAATTATTTGCAGGCATGACGGCTTGGATCATGGCGCCGGTGAGATATGCTGTACCCCCGGCTTCAAAGTTGACGATGTGGGCGCGCTTGTCGGTCAACAGTGAGTAGGGCGGTTGTTCGAACAGCACGCGCAGGGCAATCTGGTTTGCCATAGTACCGGTCAAGGCAAAGCAAGCGTCTTCGCAGCCGGCCATCTGCGCCACGGCTGTTTCCAGCTGTTGGGTCGATGTATCCTCCCGAAAGACATCGTCGTCAAAGGTCGCCTGGACGAGGGCATCGAGCATTCGAAGCGTCGGTGTAGTGTGGGAATCGGCTATTCATCAATACTCCTGTTATTTCCTCCGTTTACTGCATGATGCACTGGAAGAAATGGGCATACTGCGAAAATCATATTGGGCGTGGCCGGGAGACCCCCATGTTGGTCTCGACATGATGAGATCGACAATTATTTCACGGTCGCACAGCAACGTAGGGTTCATCTATTCGACACAGGAATCCGTCATCTCTCATACTATCTCGACCTCGATTCCCCCGGAAATGGGGGTTGTGAGGTTGTGACGGGGCCAAAAACCAGGTGGCACCACCATGTTGAGCCCACGATGGAACGTGTCAGACAAGGGGAATGAGAACAAGTGTATAATGTAACATTTGACCGAGTGAATTCACCCTGGGAATTTCTTTGCAATTTTGATTCCAGGCTCCATCTCTTGCGATACCATGTCGAAGACTACCAGTGAGGAAGATGATTGTCCTACCCCGGACTCGCTGCCCACAACAGCCTCTTCCATCTCGCTCCACAACCACATCGAAGTCTCCGAGCAAATAACAGAATATTATCGAACAAAAAGCCGAAAAGAAAATTTACGACCACCAGCACTATTGCTGGCCGCGCAAGAAGAGAGAGCCAATGTCTATGCCATCTTCGGCGGTCAAGGGGTTTCGAGTCCCCTTCATGAATTGCAGGAGCTGTATGCAGAGAATCATCACCTCATCGGAAGTTTAGTTCAACAGTCGTCCTGTCACCTGCAGCGCCTGCTAGAGGAAAATGCCCGGTTTGCATCGTACTATCCCGCAGGATTGGATATCAAGTCATGGATTTTGCACCCAGAGGATCAACCGCCATCACACGAGCTTAACAGAGCACCAATCAGTCTTCTGGTGATTGGTCTTCTCCAGTTGGCCAATTATCAAGTATTGATTCATGCTCTCGGTGTCACTCCCGGTCAAATGTCCACCTTCTTCCGCGGCATCGGCGGTCATTCACAGGGTATCGTTCCCGCCGTGATGGTGTCTTCTGCACAAGACTGGGAATCTCTCGACCGTCTTTCCCTCGACGCGCTGTCAATTCTTTTCTTCATTGGATGTCGTGCACAATCGTGCTTTGATGTCCCCTCAGTGAGCGTTGAGGCACTCGCAGAATCGGAGTCTCACGGGGAAGGAGTTCCTTCGTGCATGCTACGTGTTCACGGGCTATCTATCGATTCGTTGCATGCCCTCATTAATAAGATAAACTCACAAATTCCGGATTCGCAAAAAGTTGAATTAGCCCTCGTCAACGGGCCACGAAACTTTGTATTAGGTGGTCCTCCTGCAGCCTTGTATTCTGTCAACCGTTACTTGCACCGGATCAAGGCTGCCCCTGGAGTATCGCAAGCCCGCGTTCCATCCAGCCAGCGCAAACCAGACGTGGCCACTAGTTATCTGCCAATAACCGTCCCGTTCCATACTTCTCACTTGGCTACTGCCTGTATGTTGACATTACACGACCTCCGCAACATGTATCTCGCCCGTTCAAACCTTCAAATATCAGTCTACGACACTGCCGATGGCTCCGATTTGAGTGATGGCACGGGCCGGGATCTCATCCCTGATCTAGTTCGGATGATCATGATTCGCCAATTGGACTGGACCAAAACAGCAGACTTTCCCAAAGCTACACATCTGGTAGACCTTGGTCCCGGCACCAGCCAAGATGGGATCGGCATGTTGACAGACAAACTCAAACTGGGCTCGGGCGTGCGAACGATGATTTTCAGTGCTGGCAAATCTTCATCACCTGAATTCGGTGATCGGGAAGAGTTACTAAACCATACCTGTGTTACATCCGGCTGGGATTGGGTTGAGCAATATGGACCCAAACTCGTTATTTCCAACGCGCCGATCATCGAAACAAAGTTGACCAAACTCCTAGGCTTACCTCCACTTATGGTCGCTGGAATGACACCGACAACCTCCTCTTGGGAGTTTGTTGCAGCTACAATGCGCGCTGGATACCACATTGAGCTTGCCACAGGTGGATTCCACGACGCGGGGACTTTGGAGGCAGCGATTCGTTCTGTTGTTGAGAATATCCCCCCGGGGCGTGGTATCACATGCAATGTCATCTACGCGAATCAACGGGCTTTGAAATGGCAGCTAGCCGTCATCAAAAAGATGCAAGCTCAGCATTATCCTATTGAAGGCCTCACCATTGGCGCGGGAATCCCATCCCCCGACGTTGCATGCTCTTATATCCGGGATTTGGGAGTGAAACATATCTCGTTCAAGCCTGGGTCAGTACAGGCCGTGAAAGAGGTGGTCAACATTGCCAAGCTAAACCCCGACTTTCCCATCATACTACAATGGACTGGTGGCCGAGCAGGTGGTCACCACTCGTTCGAGGATTTTCACGAGCCAATACTCCAGACATACCATCGTATTCGATCGTGTTCAAACATTATTCTCGTGGCAGGTAGTGGATTCGGAGACGCTAACGAGTCATATCCTTACCTGACTGGCGAGTGGTCCACCGGTTTCGGCTTCGCACCCATGCCATTCGACGGCATCCTGCTGGGCAGCAGAGTCATGGTAGCTCGAGAAACGCGCACGAGTGAAGATGCAAAGTCCTTAATTGTTGAGGCATCTGGTACCCCAAATCACGAATGGGAGCAAACTTATGATCGACCCGCTGGCGGTATCGTGACAGTCATCTCGGAAATGGGAGAGCCAATCCACAAAATCGCGACACGAGCAGTGCAGTTTTGGTCAGAACTTGATAAGACAATTTTCTGTCTTGACAAAGCCAAGCAAGTGAAAGTACTTGCGAAGAACAGAATGAGCATTATAAACCGCTTGAATTCAGACTACTCCAAGGTCTGGTTCGGTCAGACGACTTCTGACAAAATAGTCGATATAGAAGATATGACCTACGAGGAGGTGGTGTCCCGGTTTATTGATCTAACCTACCTCAAGGACCGGGGGAGGTGGATCCATCCATCCTACTGCGACTTGTTGCTGGAGTTTCTCATTCATCTGGAATCTCGCTGGATAGCGTCCTCAAGCGCAAAGACTAGGATATTTCGAGCAAGGAGTGACGATACTATTGATCCTACTGGTTTCTTACAATCTCTGCATGACCGCTATTCTCAGAACTTGAAACAACTCATCAGCAAACAAGATGAGGGCCTGTTCACAGCAATGTGCAGAAAAAGCGGGCGGAAGCCAGTTCCATTTATCACTGCCCTGGATGACAAGTTTGAGTACTATTTTAAAAAAGACTCGCTTTGGCAGTCCGAGGATCTCGCGTGTGTTTACGACCAGGACGTCCAACGAACATGCATCTTGCATGGCCCAGTGGCAGCCAAATTCTCAGACCGGTCAGATCAGTCAATCTGTGAAATCTTGGGTGAGATTCACCGAGGGTATATTGGGAGTCTTGAGCGATCTGGACCGGTACGCCTGGAGCCCTCCGACGCTCAAAATCGACCCGCTGATGCGCAGCTGAGAGCTCAATCGATCCAAATCGAAGGAAAGTATCTCAACAATGAGCAGTTGTGGTATCAGAGAATCACTCAGGGAAGGTCCACACATTGCAGGGTCGCCTTGGTTGCTCAAACAGTGACCAGAGAACGGAAAATCTTCAGTAACCCAATAAAGTCACTGTTCAAACCTCGTGAAGGAATATGGATCAACGTGGAAGAAAATTCATCGGGCGCAGAAGTTCTTTCTATCTACGAAGGAACCGAGACCAGCGAGGGGAGGAAGGTTACGGAGCTTCAAGTCTCTCCAGATGGCCTGATCGATCTCGAAATTATCAATTACGAGACAGCACATGGTCAGCCAGCCTCGTTGAAATTGCAGTTTGGTCCTGGGAGTGCACTGTATCCCTTGATGGATCTTACATCAAATTTGAATGAACAGGTGAAGGAACTCTATCACCGTATCTGGTTTGGCGACGAGCCGACCATATCTAGGCCATTCGAAATCGCCTCTGAATTTGATGGAGGGAAATTTAATGTTTCGACAGAGAGCCTCCGCCTCTTTGCCACCAGCATTGGAAATATGAGTCAAATTCAACGCACGAAATCGCGGAGAATTGCCCCATTGGACTATGCTGTTGTGATCGCGTGGAAGGCATTGATCAAGCCATTGTTTGTCCTGGATGCGAATTTGCTACGTCTCATTCACCTACAGAACTCGTTTGAATGGGTACAAGAAGCATCTTGTATACAGGAGAACGATGTTGTTTCAACGACGTCACGCCTCTCATCTGTTATCCCGCAAGAATCAGGTACTCTGGTGGAGGTAAAGGCTAGCATCAATCGGGAGGGCCTACCCGTCGTCCATATCACCAGTCAGTTCTTGTTGCGCGACGCTGCGAATATTCATCCTCATATCACTTCATTCAAGGATGTCGATGAGAAATCTTGGGAGGTGGTGCTTGACACTGCCAACGCAGTTGCGATCCTTGAATCCAAGCCGTGGTTCAAGCCCCATGAAGTTCATGTGAACCTGCTTGGGAAAATTATCATTTTCCACCCACGATCAAGATATTTCTACTGCCCGACGGGTGACGTGAACCGGATCGAAGTGTCGGGAACTGTCCACGTACTGAGCAGTCGTCAGGAAATAGAAAAAGAGGTCGGCACCATCTGTTGGCAGTCTACCGTGTCGACCAATATTGTGACAGGGTACCTCAATCGCCATGGTCACCCTTCAACAACCCGGGTTCTCTTCGACACCCCTCTCGATTTGCAGGTTGTTCCGGATACATTGATCTCACCTGCAGACAACACCCTGTATGCCCGGGCCTCCGGTGACTTGAATCCAATTCACATTTCCAAGTCTATGGCCGCCTATGCAGAGCTGCCAGGCACCATAGCACATGGCATGCACACGAGTGCAAGAGTCCGAGGGCTGCTCAGCAACCACATGTGTCGGAATGATGAATCGCTTTTCCACAGTTTCAAGGTGGCTTTCACCGGGATGGTTCTGGCGAATGAACCACTCCAATTGGATGTCCAGCATATTGGCATGCTTGAGGGGCGTCGGATCATCCAATTTACCGCGCGGGACAAAAGTGGACATACTGTCGTCAAAGGAGAAGCGGAAATGCGAAATGCTCCTACCGCTATACTTTTCACGGGCCAGGGTAGCCAGCAGAAGGGGATGGGGATGGATCTTTACCAATCAAGTGTGGTTTCCAGAAAGTTGTGGGACCGAGCAGACACTTATTTCCTCAAGACATACGGTATGCAATCGTCGGCCATCACTGAATTCCGCGCTAACATTCTCTCCCAGGTTTCCGCATTTCTGAGATCGTTATCAAAAACCCCAAAAGTCTAACTGTTCGCTTTGGTGGCATTCTAGGACGCAAATTGCGGGATAATTACAGGTCACTTCAATACCTAGCGCCGAAAGCTCCGGGGGAGTTGAAGTTGAAAGCAACACAAATATTCCCTGAAATCGACCATACGACAACTTCTTATACATTCAGATCGGATACCGGGTTGCTATCTGCCACACAGTTCACGCAACCGGCTCTTACTCTGATGGAGCTAGCTATCTACGAGGATCTCAAATCTCGCGGGGTACTTTCTCCCACAGCAACTTTTGCTGGTCATTCTCTTGGAGAGTACGCGGCCATTGCAGCATTCGGAAAATTGGTGCCCCTTGAGACATTGATGGCGATTGCCTTTTATCGCGGGCTTTCTATGCAAATTGCCGTTCAACGCGATTCCGCAGGCCGGTCGGCGTTTGCCATGTGTGCGCTGAATCCGTCCAAACTCTCCCCAGGTATGTATTTTTAGTCGATGAAAACAACACCCAGCTCTGACGAGTTTATAGCCATGGATGGAGATCAAGTGGAACTCATTGTGAAAACCATATCCGAGGAAACTGGTAGGCTGATTGAAATTGTTAATTACAATGTTCAAGGTCAACAATATGTCTGCGCTGGTGATGTCGGTATCCTCCCATCATACGCAGCATTATGCAGCTCTCATACTGATACCGACTAGGTTCGCGCTCTTCTTTGTCTCACCAAACTTCTAGACTCGCTGTTCCAGCAGGTCCCTAAATTCAAGATCGGCCACGGCAAATCATCACTCATTGAAGTTATCCAACAGGCCATGGCCCGAATTTTGCCATCTATTCCGAATTCTACCCTCAGTGCCGAGGACCTTCCCCGTGGCAAAGCTACGACACCACTTGCTGGAATAGACGTTCCCTTCCATTCTAGTTTCATGAAGGATGGTATTCCAGCGTTCCGCCAATTTTTGTATTCCCACATTGCATGCAACTATGTGGATCCACAGAGGCTGATCCGTCGATATGTGCCGAATTTAACTGCGAGGCTGTTTGATATCGACAAGGACTACTTCGAAGTGACAAATTCCTTGACAGGATCTCCTGTCCTGACAAAGGTGCTTAATCAGGTACGAAAATCATTGATATGCGCGGGGAGTCCATCGTTAATTATTCGCAGTGGGACGAAATTCACGCCGAAACGGAAGATCCGGCTCGTATTGTGCGGTTGTTAAGAGGATTGCAAGAGAAAGTGATGTGATTATAGGCAGAATGCCACAGGCAACGCGCACGGTTACATTTCGTCTTATCATTTTGGCTTTATTGGCTATCAAGTTGCTTTGACAAGTTATTGGTTTCATTTTGACAAATTGAGACTCGCAGATACCTATTGGAGTTTAAAGGAGTCGGAAGGAGTTTTGGTGATGTCCGGAAGGCCTGGGCGGGATGATGACTAGCTCAGGATGTCAATATGAAGGGCAATATGATTTCTTTTCTCTCTATTAGGCACCAGTCACACGTAGATATACAATTCATCATAATCAACCCGCCCATGTGAAGGAAGGGAGATCTCTACATTCCTGCGCGGCATCTTTGCGAGTTGAGTCTTCAGCTGAATCGGCCTTCGTGCGAGTGAGCGCCATGCCAACGAGCGTTCTCCTCTTCACTACGTATATCCATTTATCTTCCTCGTCCATCGATTCCATCTGGTCTGTCGTCCGAGGCTTTTGTGAGAGTAATCTCCAGACCTCGAACTTCGAAAGTTGAGGCCCTTTATGCCTCAGAATAATACTGATGAGCCTTGAAATACCAGCCTATTATTTGGCAGTACCTAGGTACCGTTTGGAATTCATCACAAAAGAAAAACTCGTGTACACCTATATGATACTACTTCAATGTTATATATCTAGTTAATCACGTAAAAACAGCTCAACTAGCCTCGAAGCTGAGTTTTCAAGCAGTTCGACCGGGTTACCCATCTCCACCAGCTCACCATCATCAAGGACAGCGACCAGGTCATATAAGCCAACATGCTTCAACCGATGTATAACAGAAACGATGGTCGTTCCCGGAAGGCCTTGATTGACAAGCTCATGGACCTTTTGATCGGTCGCAGGGTCGGCACTACCGCGGCAGGTTAGTAGAATTCGAAAAAAAAGTAGCAAGTTGACTGTTCTAGACCAACCTGGATGTTGCCTCATCCAAAACTAATATTTTGCTTTTTTTGACCAGTGCGCGTGCAAGGCAGAGTTGCTTCTTCTGGCTACCGGAAAGAGATTCGGCGCTTGTATCATCTGCTTTCCCGAATCGCTCTTTGACAGATTCCCACAATTCGGCTTGTTCTAATGCTTCAATGACATCTGTGTCAGAATGCTGATTTTCAGGGTCAACATTCAGTCGAATTGATCCTCCTAGGATCACCGCATCCTGGGGGACGATAGAAAGCGCAGAGCGAAGAATTTCGTGGGGGACCCGGAATATGTCTTGCCCATCGATCGAGATGGTGCCAGATATCGGATCAAGCATACGGAAGAGAGCCATGCATAACGTCGATTTTCCACTTCGTGAATTACTGATGTCAGTTCCAATTCCTTTCAAATTCAAGTTATTGTGTAAGCCGCTAACCTGCCACTTCGGCCACATATGGCAACCTTCTTTCCTGCTGGGATATCGAGTGAAAGTGATTTGACAGCAAGTAGGTCGGACCTGATTTCGGTTAGGTTTTATCAAAGACTGTGTATTTCGAGCGACTGTTATCCACTCACTCGTACCCAAGGCATAGTTCCTGTATTTTAATGGCCCCGAGCTCGGGCCAGCTTGTCGACGGATTAATTGGCGAGTCTGTGGACTCTTTCGGGGTTTCCTCGGAGAAGTATTTCACGCGCTCAACTGCCGCCAGACTATTCTCTAAGGTACACCACACATCAACCAAGTCGGCCAAACTTGGTCCAAAGCTTGTCAGATTGATCAGCGCAACACCCAAAAAGCCGCCCGAGAGACCACGAGTGGCTGTTGTGACACCAACTAAGATCAACGCCAGACCGAGATTCACCAAATTCAGTACCAAACCGAGCCATCGCTGCGCACAGAGGAGGAGATAAAACGGCTTCTGGGATGAATCGAGTGCTGCGGCAAATCTTTTCTCAAATTCGCTCTGCATATCGAAGGCGCGAACTACTTGCAGGCCATTCAACAATTCAATAAACTCCGTATACAACGGACTCTTGGCTTCGATATCAAAGAATCGTAATTGCCGTGACGTTCGAATGTATAGCCGTTGAGTGAGAATACAGACTCCGAGAATGAAAGGGATGGTGGCACCAAGATAATGTGAAGACGCAGCAATAATGACAAGTTGTGCGACGCAGGTTGTGAAAGCTGGATATATACTTGGATTAGTACTGAATCGTATGGTCAGGTAATGGGAAGATACAAGGTTTGAAACTGACAAATAATGGTGTTGGCGAAGGCCATAGGCAATTCCATATCGACCAAAGCCATATCCTGACTAAATCTATTCGAACATTCAGAAAAACGATTGGTATTCAGCTTATTTAATGGAAGACAAACCGGTTCACTGTGATTCCTGGATCTGTGGAAGTGAACACAGATGCGACGGCCCTGTGAATGTCAGAAAAATTGTTCACTAACACTTTCAAGGTCCGAAAAAGAGACCCACCGCTCAACAGTTTGGACAAGTTTCAAATGCAGAGACTCCGCAGAGTCCTTCACCATGTTGCAAAGCATGAGCCTGTTTCCTGTCAGACCAGGGAGTGAAGTGTCGATGATTGAGACAAACCATGAAGCAGCAATCAGTGAAAATACGGCCAGGAATCCGAAAACAGCGTAAACACCGATCCAGTAACCCAGCCTGTTATTGGGATGATCCACGTTAGAGGCAGTCCACCATTCGAGCCAAATTTCTGCAAGCAAAATAGATCAGTGACGATCGTGAAATATCTACAGGGGCTGACTCACGGGGAAACGAGGAGAAAAATACATAAGATACGACCAGTAAGACAGCGAGGGCCAACTTCCTGTAGCCCAAAGAGGCAAAGTAGTATTTGTATGCACCCAGCTCACCCCTCCGACGGTCGCGAGGGTCCGAAGCCGAAGTCTCAAACCTGGCCTCTAGGGCAAAGGCGAACGGATTCCTGGAAATAGAAATTGGCGCCTCATTAGGATGCTTCCCTGGCGCGATTGGGTCCTCGGAAATTCTATCAGCATCGACTGGGGATCTGCGTTCGAGAACCGTGCCATCGCTATTGAGCGTGATGATCTGGTCAAACAGACTTGAGTTTTTTACTAGAATAATCTTGTTATTTTTGCACATTTGACTCGGCTCTTCCCATCTCTTACCATTCTGAGTTGCAAGGATAGCTGTTATTCCCATCTGCTTCATCAAGCCATCGGCACCCAGCAAGCGATCGAAAATGTGATGTATGGAGAGGTTATCAATTCCTGAAAGAGTGTCATCCAGCAGAACAAGTGAGCGACGCGAGTATATGGCGCGCGCTAAAGACTATTGGAGGGTTAGCTGCAACTTTAAATGTACTATAATAAGATATGCTGACAATTCTCTGCTTCTGCCCTCCACTCAGGCTCGTGCCTCCACTGCCGACCTTTTTTTCGCCTAGCGTGTGGACGATGTCTTCCATTGCACACGCATCAATCACGGTTTTGTACCAAGCCTCATTGTATGGCATTCCGGCGATGATGTTACTGCGAACAGTGTCATTTCTGAGCCATGGTTGTTGTGAGCAGTATGCGATACCGGTTTGCACGTCGAATGCGGAGTCGAATTGGATCGAGTCAAGTGGACATGGAAGCTCTCCCAAGAGAGCCTCAAAGAGAGTAGTCTTGCCACATCCAGACGGCCCAACCACTGCTACTAGTGTCTCGCGCTTGATTTGGAGGTTGAGCTCCCGCAATATGGGCTCGCTGTCTTTAGTGCGCCAAAACTTGCCGTCTACAATATTGAGCAAGTCAGAATGCAGCGTTATTGAAGATGACCCTCTGCTGCTGCTATTGAATTCGATATAATCAGCGCATGTTTCCACTTACAAGACAGGACAAAATCCACATTGGTGCGATACATACGCTGGCTTTGGCTCAACTGATAGCACTTTCTCGGCAGACGTGGTGGCCGAGTTCATCAAGTATCTAGTGTCATTTCGGGAATCGCGCTGGAGGAAATTTCCTATGCGTTCGAAGCAGGCAAACATTGCAATCACGCCAGGTAAACTTTGAATAAGAATACTGAGCGGACTGCTCAGGAGATTGAAGATCGAAAGTGCTGGGAAGGCCGTCGCAGCCAAAAGTGTGTTCCCATGATGTGAAGCGAGCGCAATATATACTGCAAAGCCCACCATGGGGGAAAGTGTTGGCGTGGTGAACGCTTGAATGAAATCAGCCTCAAAGTCCACCGATTTTAAGGAACGTACCGAGCCCACACTGACTACTAGTAGGTACCCAGGTATGAGGGGAACATACAAAGACCAATCCCAACAGTCAAGAATCGTCGCATGGCCAATGATACAGCTAGTTCGGTTTCCCGCATACCTTGCAGTATCACGGATGAATATTTGCTTAGACCGGACATTTTGATGCCTTTCATGGACGTGAGTATTTCCGTGGTAACGCAGACACGCTTCTCCACGGCTTCAACCCAGCGCTTCTGTGCATTGCTGATGCTTTTACCAAATGTCCCAATCACAAGCATGCTGCCTTTGACCTGTCAGCATCCTAATGTTTGATCTCATCGAATATAACTTACAGATCGACACCACGATCGGAGCGATGGCTCCCAGACCAAGCTGCCGTTTGAGAAGCCACAATGCTACGCCAAATGTGAAGAAACTTACAAATGCTTCGTGAACATAATGCAAGCCTTGTATAATGCGCTCAACATCGGTACTCATCAGTGTCAGTGGGGCCATATCGGATTCCTGCAGTTCAAGGGACTTCCGGAAAATAAGAAGAACAAGAGTTCCTCGTACTGCGGTAATAAAGCGCACAATTTGGTATTGGCTATATGCCGTCGTGAGCTAAACATAGTTAGAAAATTGACTAGATTTTTGTTTGACGATCGAACGTCGTATAACTCACCGCAATTCCCAGGTAAACCAATCCGTACGCGACGAGTAGACCCCATGCCACACTCTGAGGATCAGTGTCGTCGCGAGCGTCATACCAATTCAAAGTCCGTTGGATAAGAAAAGGCTGTATGAACTGAAATGCAGCCTGGGCGAATCGTGTGGGAGTTGGGATTAGAAATAGCCACCGAAATTCCCATGCGAGAAGCAAGAACAGATTACGCTTGCTTCTTCCAATGACCTTCTTCTCCCATATCACACCGACAGTGCGCGACAATCCTGCGCTATTGAATTCGGCTTCGCATTGAGAGAGCTCCGGGAGTGACAGTGACTTTCCAGCAATACCCCGCCACATGAGTGGATTGAGCCAGACAACAAAGACGCGGTTGATGATGCCGCTGAGTGCCTCGGGCGGGTATTTGTTGTAGGGGGTGTTCAAGACATTTCGTTTGGTGATCTCTTCAGCTACTAGGAGCAACACTTTCACCCCTAGAATGGAAGATAAGATGCCCAAGCATGCCTTCGTTTCGTCTGACTCGGCGAGAAGTATAATGCGTGCGATGTCGGTGACTCCCCATGCTGTTGTAAATAGTTGTCCGAAAGACGAAGCGCGAATCTCCCACGCGTGGCTGACCACAACCACCAGTGAAAGAAATACCGAACAGCAAAATTGCAGGGCCGCGGCACAAATGGCGAAGCGTCGGGCGGCGCCGTGGACGGAGCCCAGTGTAGCGACTGTGACGAGGTATGCGATGTACAAAATCATCAACAGCGTGCAAAGTATCTAAAGAAACGTTATCATACAGATCGCTGAAGCTCTCATAGGAAGCAAAAATACCCATTTCGCGAAGACTACGCGTCCGTAAAGCGCGACCTTCTTGGTCGGACGCTGCCACAATCTCCGTATCGACCAGAATGAGAAGCCAACAATTCCAAAGCTTGACAACACGATAGTTAAAATGACATTTCCGAATAATAGTTGCAAATCACCAACAACACTCTGGCCGTGGAAGGGTGGGATTGAATTGACAACTTCTCTGGCATGATAGCCAATATTTGCACGCATCGTTGGTAAATTGGTCCCAAAAGGCGCCCAGCGAAAGGTATTCGAGCTTGAATCAATCTTTCAGCATATTTGAAACTGAAATTGACGTTTAGGCATTCATGAAGGGGCGTCAGACGCCCCGCTAGACCAAGTCAGCCGCTGTTTAAGTGGTACCACCCCTGGACACGCCAACCTTGGAATTTTCATCTACCTAGGTATTGAACTTGAATTTCCATTTTATCTTGAATTTGTCATACTTATATACATTACAACTATTATTTTTCGGATATGGAGCTTGAGGCTTCTTTACCCATGTCCTGCGGGAAAGTTATACTGGTATGTTCAACACCGTCTAATCGACGTTAAAGCTTGACAAATCCCTCGGGAAGGTCTTTGTGTTCAACCCACGCCGCGGCAGTCTCTGCAAAAAGCCGCGGATCCTGGCGATTCCAAGGATGTCGCATTTCCAAGTGCGTATACGCGATAGTCTCTTCATTTAGCTCTCTCCCGATCATCATCAACTTCACAGCATCACCCGAGCTATCCTTTGTAGGCACCAATCCTCCTTTCCCCGCAGCAACAATCAAAGTGCGCGCAGACCATGGCGATGGCCACTGTGTAGGTCTCTCCGGTGATACGATCTGGCGACACAGGTCAAGTGTACAGACATTGGTATCGATACGCGGGATATCGGCACCATCCATTGCCCAGCTGATAAGAGACCGGCCAAGGCAGTTCTCCACACGCGGCATCGCCCACGCTGCGTAAGGAATATACGGCGTAAGTGATGTTTGAGGGAACATCCCAAACCCCGAGACGAAGACAGAGTTCACCACATCTGGTTCGAGACAGGCCAGGCGGATAGCGACCTGAGCACCCAAACTATGGCCGACAATGTGCGCTGGTCCATTCGCGTGTAAACGGATCATCTGGGCAATCTGTCGCGCTGCCAGATCCACCGAGAACGGCAGGCTAGCGGACCTGCCGTGACCTGGAAGATCTGGGACCAAGAGGTGGTAAGACGTGAGGTGGGGGATCACAAGATCCCAGTAGAGACCAGATACCAAGGCGCCATGAATCAGTACGACTGTGGTCTTGCCGGTGTTGTGTGCAGTATGGTACAGCTCAAGAGACATAGCGAAATGATACGAGAGTAGAGCAGTGAGGGGGCACTCAGACTTCTCTTTGACGGTGTGTCCACCTCGGTGTGTCCACTTCGGTGGTGCCACCGATGTCCGTGCCCAATCGCCGATCCCGCAGATCTACCGAGCTTCTAGATTTCTCCCCAAATTGGGATTTCAAGTAAGCAACCGTAGAGATCAACTAGCATCGAAAACGTGTGGTTATGAGGTAGGCAGTACGTGATTAAATCATTAAAATGATAGGCCACCCAGGTGGAAAGAACTAGGTACTAGTAGGAGGTGTAAGTGATCACACTGCGGGCAGAGACTTGGACGTGTTAAAGTTTCAGATCGAGCGGGCCACCCCATGAACTCCAATAAATATGGCAAATTACAACTTCAAATAAATGAGCAACGACTTGAACTTGAGAGAGATACTTTTGTTAAAATCTTGGAAGCTTTTGTAGCTATTAGGTAGTATTAGTACTCTAGGGCTTGAGATAATTATTTTACGACAGCAGTACAAAAAATACACACTGGCAGTAATTTACTAAGTTGTTGATCAATATATACTGGTACCTTCATCTGGGCGGGGCTTATGAACTACCTATCTAGGTAGTACTACAAACTGGTTACTAGATGCTGGTACTGAAATATTTCTTTGATCATACTCAATTTGAAAGCTAGCCAGTAATACTACTTAAAACATATCAGTAGCAATTCCTTCATACTAGGTATTACCTCTAAAATAAAAAGGATTGATGGAATTTAAAACTTTTATTATGTGTTCTTGGGTGCCCGCTCGGTCGTTGAAAAAGTGATTACTAGTGAACAAAAGTACAGAGTTGAGTTCATTCTAGATATACTTACATGGATTATGCCGGGGTCATATTCTCGTCAATTGTGAAGTTAAAATCCCTCTCCAACGCTTGAGCATGAAACATATTTGGTCAAGCCACTATACTGTAGGAGATGTCGAGCTACCTGCCTTGGCCAACCGTTTCGCCTCTTTTTTCGCTTGTTTAGCGGCCTTCTTTTCTTCTTTGCTGGGTTTCGGCCAGTTGGCGTCCGGTCCAACGAAAATCTTACCCGGATGGATCACATTAAAAATAACAAGGGCGAAGAACATAGGTAGGGAATCGAAAATGTAGATGAAAATCTCATGGTTGCTGATCGTTGTGGCAAGTTTACTAGTATTGTCGCCCGCGAACTCGATTATGCGGAAGATCACTCGGAACTAGTAAACGTCAGGAAGCTGACATCCAGCAAAAACTCAGTTTTCGGGGCTGATACCGAGATTAAAGCGAGAGATAGATATAGAGTGTATAGAAGAGGTTGAACACTCTTTGCCCTTTCGGGGTCACATTCGCGAGATAGACGGCGGCGGAAAATGACGCTCAACACGGTGAAACAAATAATAAAAAACTGTTGCAGCGCAACACCGGCGGTATAAATATGCAGACCAGTGTTGATGGTGCTGTTATCGTCGGATGTAGTGATGGCGGCCCCAGCCAACTGGAGAATAAACATACTGGAAAATAATTTGTTAGTGACGAAGCTACAGCCAGAAAATCTACTCACCCGACATCCAAACCAACGAAAAAGAGTCCGACACGCCGAGCTGCAAATCCACATATCCTCTTGTCGGGAAGACAGTAGTTCACCAGCCGTCCCAGCAGCAGGAAGTCAAACGCATTCATCCACATTGGAGCAATCAAAATCAGAATAAACTGGGCTTCGTAAACATGGGATAAATCGACCTGGTGGATGCAAACCAGTCGCAGGATGTACGAAATAGTCTCTAAGCTGGCACCCATGCTAATTATCCAGGCATTGCGCATCCGGTACTGGTATGTCTGGAAAATGTGAACACATGTTGTAAGCCCGAAGAGAACTGCAAATAAAATTGCAGCTGGCTCGGAAGGACAGTATGACCAATACACATTTGGATTTTGGAAAATCGCAGGGTCTGGCAAGAAGCAGTTAGATGGTTACTCCCGGGCGGAAGCCCCAGGCTCGAATGAAAACCTACCGCAAGTGGGCATTTTGAAATCTAATATCGAGAACACAGATTTGAGATAGTAGAAAAGAGGAGCGGCAATTGCAATAGCAACTTTTGAGAGGGTTGTTGGGGGGATTACTAGATAAATTACTTCTGCGGTAAGCAGAGACAGATAAGCCTTGCAGGGGCAGGGGCGGTGGCATCACCACCTTGGGTTCCACTTTCTTTCTTTCCTTGGTTGACTATTTCGGCGTTTTAGAATACCGCGAGATCTCAGGCAATTACCTGCTTTGACATTTCGTGTTTGGTGCCCAAATCTCCCGCGGGTAAAATCAGATCCAGTAGTCGTCCAAAGCAGATACTCCCACCCTGCCCTGGAGCCTCAAGACACCGAACGAGTTCAAGGCAATGGATTGGGGGCCAGAAAACGGTGCGCCAACTTCGTCCTGCCTTCGCAATTTATCTCTAATCTCTTGATAGTTGTCAAATTTTGTGTTGAAAATTTTGTAAGGCTTCATTGGAGGAAAATCAAACCATCGTTCTATAGAGTTTCCGCAGTTGATACCACAGCTGCTATTTATCTACTCGGGGGCCTTCAAGTTGCGTATTCTGTTTGATACGCCACCGATCCGACTATTGGTAGTAAAGCTAAAATAATACAAGGTACTATATGGAGACGCATGTTCTGTAGAATTCAATCTCCACAATGTAAATCGTGTATTCTTTTCAATTGTGTGCATTTCATAACTTGCTACAAGAGTCAGCCGTCTACCGCTCAGCCTACAGGGCACATCCGTAGTGTGGCCACCATTCATCGTGCCACCTTGCTGCTGTTCTGCATCTCGGAAAGGTTTTTATAGGTGTTTACGGTATATAATTTCAAAGCTCAATCAGAAACTGACTCAAGCTCTGCAATCCTCTATTAAATTTCGATCATGTTTCCCGAACCTGCCTCCCAGGAAATCGGTCCGTTTTGTAACCCGAAATAAAGCGTGCCATAACTAATAAATTGCAGACTGGAACAAGTTAAGTCTCAAAGGCCTTGATTTAACCTCTCATGTCGAGTCACATTACTCCAGCGAAACTGGAAAATGGACTGCGCCTGAAATTGTGGCTTCGCCATACTTGAAGGTCCATGGCTTGTCGCCCGGGTTGAACTACGGACAGCAATGCTACGAAGGGCTGAAGGGTAAGCAGAATCGATTGGTCGGTATTTTTCCGGTTCTGCATGATCCTAACAAGACCAGCTTGTCGCACCGCCGACAATCAGATTTTACTATTTCGCCCAAATGAACACGCGAACCGCATGCACCACTCGACAAGCACGGTCTCCATCCCTAATGTACCTGAAGAGCACTTCCTCGCTTGCGTCAACCTAGTTGTGGCCGCCAACTCGACTTTTGTCCCCCCTCACGAAAGCAACGCTCTCCTATACGTCCGTCCAGCGGCCTTCGGGTCCGGTCCACAACTTGCCCTCACCTCGCCGAGTGAGTTTACCTTCGCGGTATTCATTCTCCCAGGCTCCGCATACCACGGCGTCACGGCCCAGGATGCTTTGGTCTGCGAAGGGTTTGACCGTACCGCACCTCTCGGGGTAGGCAATGCCAAGGTTGGCGGAAACTATGCGCCCGTCATGAAATACACCGACCAGGCGTACCGTGAAGGCTTTAGTCTACTTCTCCACCTCGATAGTCTTACTCACACCGAGATCGACGAATTCTCTACATCTGGCTTCTTGGGTGTCAAGGCCGGCAACAAGCCTACCTTAATTGTTCCCAGTAGTCGCAATATTCTTCCCAGTGTCACGACTGATACTTGTATTGAAGTTGCCAAGTCACTTGGGTGGAAGGTTGAGAAACGGGCAGTAAGTGTTCTCCTTTTTCGCCGCTCATGACTTA